TATATTTAATGTGAAAACGATGCGACGTGTGAAATTTAAAATTAAAATAGATTTCATTAAAAATTACAACGGTCATTAGCTAAGTAGGTACTTACTTAAATAAAAGAAGTAATATCGCACGGACAACCTTTTGCTTTATAGTAACGCGTATTCACCTTAATTACCTTAGTATTTACCTAATTTACTATCTAAAACAGGCAAAGGACTGCCCGGCCTACTCGCGAAGGGCTTTAATCCGGCCTGCCAACAACACTTCTAAATAATAATGATTTTACTTATCAGACAACAGTGAAGTCCACATCTGTTAGTAACAATACTTATTAATCTTAAAAATTATGTTAGTAGGTACTAAATCTAAAAATATAGAATTAAAACTGAATTGGCTCATAGGCGGGAAGAACATGTCGTGCGCCTGGTGGTAAGCGACACGCCTGTCCATAACAGTTGCAGTGCCACACAGAGCTTTAAAACGCAAACATATGAGATTTAAATCGCGTATATATTTGTTTTTCAAACAAACCAACGTTTCGCGCCCTTTACAGATCCCATGATCACGGTTGACTGCGATGGTACAGTCTTCAACCAGTTATGTCTAATATTAATGCAAACCACCCTATTTTTTCACTATAGTTTCAAAAGTTATTATTAAATACCTACCTTATTTTAAATTTTACAAAGAAACATTCCAATTGACGCTACATTACGATTTACAAATTATTTTATTAAATGAATTTTTATTAAGTTACATTTATTATTAATTAATAATAGAAATTAGGATAAATTAAAACATATTAATTTGTACTGCAGTCCTATGTCTGTTAGGGATTTTTCATCAGAGGAAATACTGGATCCCAAACTGGTGGTACGGAGAAACCGTCTTCCCTGTTGAAATAAGGATGTTTTTTAATTTCAATGGCGTCTCGCAGCATCCTGGGTAGATAATGGACTTCTTTTGCAAGGACCTGGGGTTTGTCAAACTTCATTGGATGTGTAGGTTTATCTATGACATGCTCGCAGATTGCAGACTTGTTTACGCGACGGTGTTTGACATCAGCTATATGTTGTTTGACGCGAGTACAAATACTTCGCTTCGTTTTTCCAATATAAGAGAGACCGCACTCACAGTCAAGATTGTAAACTTCTGCATCCTGTAAGGGAATGTTACATTTCACGGGTCTCAGAAACTGAGAAAATGTGTAACAAACGCGAAAACCTTAAAACTCGATAATCATTGTCATGTTTATTTTTTAACAAATTGCTTTGATCAGACTGGACTCGATCGTGACTACCGCTCTTACTGAGTTGCAGAACGAGTCAGTAGAACTTAGGAATTTCTCTAGTTTTTTTTTAATATTTGACAACATCACATACGTTGTTCATATGTTGTTGTACGTCATATGCTCTGATCCTAAAGTAAGTAACTAATGTACTTGTGTTATCGAAATCGAAAACAACGACGGTACTACAAACACCCAGACCCGAGACAATATAGAAAAATTAGTTTCTACATTGATCCGGCCAGGGATCGCACCCGGGATTTCAGAGATGGCGACACCATGAAAACCGGTATGCAAGCCACTCGACCACGGAGGTCGTGGTATGTTCTACTCGCTGAGTACTGGATGGACAAAGGTTGGTGGATACTGGTCGGTCCAAAGGCTGCACGTATAGGACACTTGGCAATATGATTTAAGTAACTAGATTTTTACTTGTTGACTAAAGCGCGCAAACTCGTACCACCGTATTATATCTGACCGCCGGCACCCTGCCGTCCCTCTCAATATCCATGAGGTATTTAAAGTAGTAGTGAATGGCCCTCTCGGAAATATACTTTGGCAGATTCGTCGATTTCGACACACGTAATAACAATAATAAAATTAAAAATATTTCAAAAGAAAATGCATTTTTTTAAGTGATGGCTAGCCCTCTGTGAAATTTCTTGTTTTTCTGACACTAATGAAAAAGTTTGCTCACTCCTAATCTAGACCTATTTACTTAGAATAAAGAGCCTCACCGATTTATTTTACATTTCATAGAAATTACATGAAGTTCCGCCGCTTTATCGAGTTTTAAGGAAGCGCATCTACCTTTTGTTAGCAAAGGCGTGGTGTTTTTAATAATCGCAGTTTTTATGATTTCGGGAAATCGCTTTTAGCTGTCTTTTGTCCAACCTTCTGCGGCAAAGTAAAACAAAACAACGAAATGGACATTGATGGTAATGACTTTCGAAATTTCTAAATGTTAGAGTTGTTTTACGATTATAACTCTATGGTTCTTATTAATTTTTATTTTGTTTACTTATTTATTGATGTTCAGGTTACAAAAGACCCATAAATACATACCTCATATACTAACATAATATGTACATTATAATATAATAAAACATTAGCACTATTTATTTACATGTATGGACTGCGACGTGGGACGCAACATGAGTGTCCGGTAGCCGTCATGTATTATAATGTGGTAAATTGTATTATAAAGTGATAAATTGTATCACTAACTTAATATAACTTTACTAACAGTTTATTTATTTATTGAGTATTAGTTATAAAGCTATCTCAGCTTAGACAGGTAACAAATTATTATTACGAAATTCAAAACGTTATAATACTATTAAACTAAAAATTATATCTTTCTCATTTGTGGTAAAAACCACAAATTAGAAAGATTGGTAAATTGCATGCCAATTATTAAGTAGACGGTGGAACAAGCTGGATTTATTTAAACTAAGACACACATTACAGTACATTCAAGAGCACATCGAACTTGACATCTCGCACTATAGACTGTTCTTGTCGCGTTTCCATTATTTTAAGTTTTATGTACCATAATTTTAGGTAGCTGCTCTGTAACTTATTCGACAAATAAATACATTGATTAATTAATTCTTTTTCAATCAGATTTTCCGAAATAAATTAATTGTCGAGAAAGTAACCAATCGGGCAGCTCAGTGAGCTACTTATCAGTAGAACGGGCAATTTTGTGATTATGTAGTTCACTATTGCAATGTCTTCTTTCTATTCCTATTTACAATTATGATAAAATAATAAAATATGGTTAATTTATACTATAAGAAAATGTACCTATAAATTTTGCTACTTACTATCAATTTTCCATTCACTGCGCATTTTATACAGAAATCAAAATTATCTTCGTAAATTTGAAATTTTAATTTTTCCAAAGTTCTTTTTTATCAGAGTTCGATCACCAGCTAAAATATAATAATAATCTTCATTTATTTCAGACTCTTGCATTAATAGATAATGTTACTTAACCTACTTCAATTTAAAACGTACCTACTCAAATGGGTATAATTTAAATTTAAGTAGGTGAAACTCTCCAACAGAACGGCGCATGGTACAGCTACCGGCTTAACCTCCTAAGGCCCATATAATACATCCGAATACATAATATGTGAAGTACCTAATTCAGACCCAGATGTTTTTTTAATAATACCACGTGACGGAACGAACAAGTCGTGCACTTGGTGGTAAGCGACGCCTGTTCATACCAATTGCAGTGCCATTCAGAGCTTTAAATTGCAAAGAACTGAAAGGAACTGCCACTGCACCAGTCTCCCTGAGACATAAGTTGACAAGCCTCATGTGCCTATAATTTCACCAGCACCCTTAACCCTTCAAAACCAGAACGCAATAATGCGTTATTATTCTAAGGCTCACACTACATTTTTAGGAAATTCACATGAATTTTATCAGATTTTTTAGGTTAGTTTATATTATTATCATATTGATACTCGCGACTGCAGCACCTCTACAGATCGCAGAAATAACTGTTTAGTTTTATTGGTGCTAATACTATATAATGATATAATACTCGTAAATGTAAATAGTAATTAATTAGTAACGATAGTCGACGGCTACAGCGCTCAAGTAAAAATAGAGTTGAGCATTAATATCTAAAGTAACAGTCATTTTATTGTGATTCTAACATTATTATCCTGTATTTTTAATGGCAAAAAAACAGAAAAAAAGAGGGTGACTGGAAGAGATTGCTATGTAGTTACAGACCGCCTCTTGTACCTTGTGCTACGTATTTTAATTAATTTTGCATTTATCGTAGTGTGCAATATACATGGAATATTTGTATTATGTGGTATTATAAAACTTTTGTCCTTATTTCTTTAATCGTTGTAATTGTATATTGTTTTATCGGGTTGGAAAATACGTTAATGCAAACGTATAAACACATCAAACCCAAGCAGCAGACGAGGATGAAAATGTGATGCCAGCACGAGCAACGCACGAAACATATATTTAGGTATGGGGAAGCAGTAAATATTTTACTGGATCTTCCACACATCAGAAATTTTCATAATGTTTGAAATTCACAAGAAATTTGTTGTCGTTTTTCAGCAGTAAAATACTATTTTTTGAAACTTACATTTTACTGAAATCGGTCGGCGTAAAATTAATAATATTTGCCAGATAATTTGAACCATGTTTTGTAACAACTTCACGAAAACGTTCAGTATTCATTATTGAAACAAACTCAAAACGCAGAGATTCGAATATAATTATTCAGCCTCATGATTTTATTGATAAATAAATCTATTAAAGTACCTATTCGTAATCATGTTACATACTGGTGTCCCAAAACTCAACGATAACATGGGTATAGGTTGTTGCCTAGATTATAACAAGAAAGAAAATAGAAGTTAAAAATCGGAGTCATCTTTTTTGTGATGATGTAACTGTGATAAATATTTTCTTGCTGTCTTTTCTTCATTTTCCTCGGTTTAAAATTAAAAAACAAATAAAAATAACAGTATAAATTCCAACGCTACCTGCGATTAATAAACAAGTGTAGAAGATGAAATAAATGCCTATATCAACAGACTAATCATATGGCTACCATACTAATGAAAGTTATTATTTTATTATAAAATACCTTGTATGTATTTACTTCAACTAACAAACTTCTACTTTTATCCATTCTACGTACAGCTCTATTTCTATTTGTCAAACAATGACAGCCCAGCCAACGTTTTCTAATCTGTGGTCGATGACGGACGAACGGTGACGAGACGGTAGACGAATAAATCGTGATTGTGTTTTTTAATTATATTTTTATTATTCTGTGCACCGCGATAGTATTAGTTGTAACCAGAGAATAATAGCACAATGTGGGATCCCACTCACGTACAAGTTACTGTGCAAAGGGCTCGAGGACTTCTAATAAAAGGTAAAAACGGCACGAATAACTGTTTTGTTACCATCGCCCTCGGCAAAGATAAATTCCAAACTTCCGTGAAACACAAAGCGACTCAGAATGTGGAATGGTTAGAGGAATGCGAGTTGCGCATTCCGTCGCAGGGTAATACGGCAGAGATCGTTCTTAAAGTGTACACTGAAGAAATGGTAAAAGACCACTTACTAGGTCAAGTGTCAATTCCGTTAAAAGACCTAGATGCATACGAGAGACCGAAAAATCGCTGGTACACTCTGCAGGGCAAACCGGGGAAAGAGAACGACAAAAACAGAGGTGAATTAGAGGTGAGAATAGCCTTCACCGTGAAAGAAGGCAGTCTAACCGACCTCAGCAAAAAAGATAAACATAAGTCATCTCTGTCAAGTTTGGCCCACAATGTTGGGGGAAGTCTAATGAGCATTGGGAGCATTGAAAAGAGAAAGGGTATCAAAAAGTTTGCTAAAAATCTTGGTTCTAAGATTAATTTGACTAAAAAAGATAAGAAGAGTGATTCATCTTCCCTCAGTGGAAGCATTGGGAACCTTAAAGGTTCTACCTTATCTACTCCAGATCACTCTACTCCTAAAAGGAGATCAGAAGAAGCAGATCCTGGAGTTATAAGTGAGGATGATGATGAATTTGCTTTTGATGACTTGTCTCATAAGAGTTCAGGTAGTTCACTTAATGTCCAAAATTCTTATGCTCCTCGAACTTTCAATAAGTACACACCATCTCCAGTCAATGCTTCCCTAGAAAATCTGGGCGGAGGGGAATTCTTAAGGAGATCTACCAGCAGCAGTCTTGTAAATGCTGACAAACCAGTGCCACAGAAGCCCGTTCGCCTCAGTTTGGACCAATTTGCGGCACCACGACCATCTACAATTGTTCCTGACAAGGATGATGAGTGGTCACAAAAATTATACTCTCAGCCAAAAACCAATAGCCAGACAGCCCTCAACAAAGAGAAGTCCTCAAGTTTAGAAAGAAACAAGGCACTTGATAGTCCTAGCTCTTTGAAAGAAAAGCCAAGTCCTAAATTCTTTAAAAAATTTGTTGGAAATAACAAAACTAAGAAATTATTGGAAGAACGTATTATTGTAGGTGAGGAAAATATTGTTGAAGAAGATTCTATCAACCCAGCTTACAACAGCATTCCTAAAACAGTACTAGAGCAATTGGAAGGTAAGTCCAAAGAAGACCTGATTGTTTTGGTTTACAATCTACAAAAAGATATGGATATGGAAAAGAAGAAAAGCAAAGACTTAGAAAATTATCTCGATGATTTGCTACTCAGGGTTATGGAAACTACACCAAGAATCCTTCAGAATCCATATGTTCGTAACAACAGCATGCATATTAGAAATAAGTAAATAATTCAAAGATTTGGAGAAGTTTTGAGTCTTATATTCTTTTATGATACCATTCAATATTATTACATGTTTCACATCCTGTCCAAAGTTGTTTACTGTTTGTTAGATTTGTTAGATATTCTACATATTTTATAGATAAAACAGTTTGTTTTAAAGAGGAAGGTACTTCATTCAGTGTGTTATACAGTTTTTCTTTTATTATTGTCTATTGTTCTGTTGATTTTCCAATAACCCCTTTGTCTATAGGGAAAGTGATTTGGCGTGGTATTCGCTGACAATAGAAAAATGTTATTTATAAATAGTATGTATATGACTGAGTTCAACTTTCACTGCTTTATTTGATTTTTAACAGTGGTGCAAGACCACTGTTACAAATCAAGCTAACTTTGAAACTACTTTGAAGCTGCAAAGCTTCAAAGTAGTTTCTTAGATTTTTACAAGCATTTTCAAATCATATTTAAATTCTTGTTACATTTGATTGATCTTTCACACCATCTTTTTTATAAAATGTTATACAAATTTTGATAAATGTTTTTATTACATAAGACCTACATATATATCATTTTCAGTGCCAAATTCACATACAATAAATTTCAAATAATTTGTTTATTATTGTATTTGTTCTTTGTAATTTATCTAGATCATTATTGATTATATACAATCATAGTAGGTAATCATATACACATATCATTGCCATTATCTTTTAGATGTAACTTGGTAATTAAATTGCACTAAAATTGACAAAATTGACTTGAAAACTTATTCTCATATTCCTTAGTCTCTAACAATGGAACAGTAACATTCTTGTAAGATCATGAGATCATGACACATGTTGATAATTTCAAATAATCATAAAGATAATTGTTTGAGCTGTGTGACTCATGTAGGTCACACACATACAAAACAGAGATGGTGATTAAAGAAGTGCCTGTTTACATTGAACTTGTACTCATACATAGTATATTGATGGTAGTAGTATATTGATGGTAATATGGTATAATGAGACTTACATGCCTTATTAATGTGACTTCGAAAATTGGTCCATCCAAATCGAGTGAGAATGATTGTAATTTATTGTTATTTATATAAAACATGTTATTTACGTTAACATAATTAGTGGAGCTAGATTAATTATAACAATATTATAAGGTATTACAAAATGAAGAATGATGGAGAAAGATTTAACATCAAAATATTATGAGTAGAGGAAATTATAAAATTTTAACTTATTTTGTGGTTTGCCTGAAAAGTTTGAGACTAGCCATGCTGTTTAAGTTTTCTAGTGACACCTGTATTAATTGTCCTCTAATATGATATGTATAAGTGCAAAACGTTAGATGTGTAAGATGCCTGCTGTGCAATATACAATTTAAAGTATAGGAATGTTATTCCAATAATACATTTTTTCTTAGGATTTAAGTTTCATGTGGGTGGGATCTGACAAAACTTGAATCATATGCTTGTGGAGTTATTATATTAACATTAAGTTAATTAAAGTGTCATAACATTAAATAAGTATAATTAATTACATATTTAATTTGAACAAGTATTTCTGAGAATATATTGTTTGAAATTTTTTTTAAAGTACTAAATTGAGTGTGATATTTGTCCATTTAGTTTGAACAAATTAAGTCATGTACAAGGATGCTAAAAATTATGGTATAAGAGACAAAGCCAACACTACAATTGTGTAAAATTATTTTACTAAATTATTTATATTTTTTAAATTTAATCTGATATTTAAAATGTACTCTCTTATTAAAACTATAATTTATTTTGTGTTAAGAAATTGAAGTTTAAAATAAGCTACTACTCTTAAAGTGTTTAGCTTCATCTAAGAGTTAAGAGTAAAGTATGTTTATTTATCTTTTGAAACTGTCTACATAACTACTAATTAATAAATTTATTTTTGTAGATGTTTACATTTTAATTGTGTATACCCATAACATTCATATTATGATATCTAATAACTTTGCTGTTATACTTTCTCTGTTGCCTTCTTTTGGGAGTTGTTACATAAATCATATTATTATAGCAATAATAAAATTTATTTGTATATATAAATAATATGAATCAGAATTAGCATGACTAACCAGGAATTTTGAAGGATTGATGTAATAAGGAAAAAGTTATAATAAATTCTTTACTATTTATTGTAATTTGTTAAAAAGCGTAAAAATTATTTGCTTTAACATATAATTTGTTGTGACTTAATTGACTCGTGACTGCAATGAGACTATTTGTGTCGGCGACTCTTCACTGGTACAGGTGCGGGTGCCGTGGACACATACGTTTTTTGAGACACCTTGTTCATGTAGTAGATTGTTATAAGGGAGAATATCAAACTGAAAAAAAGAATAAAATAGGTATTACTTTTGTAATGAAGATCTGGATTGTCGAACGGTTTGCACAGAGGACGATAGATGAGGATGTCCCTGTAGCGCGACGAGCGCGAGAGCGACATAAAGAGCGAGATCTCTATGCGAGAATAGCAGTATCCCGCGCTTTGTATCGCTCTCGTGCAAGTCGCGCGAATTAACCATTCAATAGGACCAATTTGGGAAAGAATTTTTATAATAAATATTTTTTTAAACTTGTTCTGGTGTAGGCGTTCTCCTACATTGCCCTACCAATGCTTGTTGCTACGTCAATACGCCCCAACGTCAATTTCGTTGCTTTGATACTCACAACACAAGAAAGTCACTAACTAGACTGGGTAATTAATATAGATATTTGGCACATTATTATGTGTTCATGCAGCAGAGAATTTACCTATAAATTGTATATTTTATTGTTTTATAAAACCTGAATGGTAACTGAAAACATCTACAAATCTAAAATGGTGCTTGAAATATCGGTGCATACAGTGTGAAAGATAACAACTATTAAAATGCTTTTGCATCAACCTCGCAAAATCACAGGTTGTAAAGGCTATAATATAATAATAATAATAACTTTATTGATAGCCATTACAAATAGTATAGAAATAATACAGTAATTATTAGTTATTGATTGATTGCCAACCAGCCAGGCAGCATCCAAACCCCACAAAAGGATTTAACCTGTGTTAGCAGACAGTACCGTTGCTGCCACTGCGGGCAAGCATGAATCAAATTTTTATCAGCAAATGGCTTACAGGTAAACTAAAAGGAACTCTGTAGTCCCAAAACCAGTACAAAAAAACTGTTCATTTGGGACCCAGAAAAGAATAAAATATGAGAAAAAAAATGTTCAAAGAGTTAGTATAGTTTATAGAAGACTTAAACTATGTTTAATAAGTCGCAGTGTGTATCAAGAACAAATTAGTGATAAGGCTAAAGACAATAATTACCATGTTGTGAAACAAATTCTGTGCACCATCCCAGCTGCAATAAGAGACACTGCCATGGACAGCACAACTTCAGGCAGCTTCAGTTGAAAGTTCTTTCCAAACAATGTTGCTTCTAGATTACCTACAGCCTGAGAGATGTCACTTTAAGGAAAATTTTTCATACAAATTAGTGCAATTACTGAATTGATGACAATAAATTAACTGAGAAATATAATGACAAGACACTAAATAATTAGGCACAGGCAGCAACTTGCTATGCGCCTGATTGGTTTTTATCTTCATTTTGACATTTTCTTCCTTTTCTTCAACTAGTGAATTTAAGAAATGCAGCTTTCAAAAACCTTTCTACTGAATCATGCATATACCATTGCATTATTTTTGTTATGCACATAGTGTATATTTAGCTTATTCAATTTTTTTATGAAATAAACATATTAAGGTTGGGTTGGAAATTAAATTACATTTTCCGAATCTTAATTGTGTATGTGTTTTTTCAAACAAACCACCGTTTTGTTCAGTCAGTCGTGGCCATGGGACCTGTAAAGAGGCCGAAACGTTGATTTGTTTGAAAAACAAATCCGTACCTGAAAAGCATTAATTACACTAAGTGCCATTTCTGTAATTTTACGGGGGAAGCGATTTTGTGTCGAAAACCAGTTTGTACACCAATTAGGGTAGCTTCAAATTTTATTAAAACTCAATTAGGTTTATTTCAAGCCATTGTAAATGTTGTACATGCTGCATTTTGACACAAAATCGCATCTGTAAAATTACAAAAATAGCACTTACAGAGTAATGCTTCTCAGGTAGAGAAATATATGCGAATAATTGTAACCGCAAAAGTAGCGTGCCCATGTCACAACAGTGGCATTGAAACTACGCTTTTTGAAAGCGCCCTAAATTAGTTCTACATACTTGAAAATGCTTGCAGTTGTTGTTGTTATTAAAATAATATTGGAAAATCTGTAAGTAAAATAAGCATATTTAAATGTGACAAAATTAAAATAAATTTACCTACCTAAAACCCCATGAAAACACAAAATGAAGACGTATAAGACACAGAAAACAAAATATCATAAAGGATACAGTAACGAAGAACATAAACATAACTGATCCAAGATAACCTCCAAAAATAATGGTTAATGGAGATTTCACCAACAGAGGCTTGTACATTTGCATCCCAGAGAATATCAGGAGCGTTAATATTGATGATATTATGAAAGACGTGGCACTGTTGACCGCTGAAACAAACCAATTTGTAAAACAGCGTATACGGAAATAGTCCCCAGTGTTGAACAAATTGCATCGAAGTAATGTTTTACCCATTGTTTAGTTGTAATTCCTTATATAATATCCACAATATTCGAAGTTTCTCAGTGATAAACCTGAGATATTTCGGTGCCAAGCGTAGCCAAGTACACACCGGTAGAAACAGAACTGTCATTGTCAGAACTGGAAACGTCAAACTCAAATGCACAGATTATTATTTATTTATTTGCTGAACATTGGCTATAAAGCCATAAGCTTAAACAAGCAACTAAGGATGAAGAAACTTAAAACGTAATAATACTTAAAATTAAAAATTATTTTGTTTAAAATCTGTACTACAAAAACCATGCACAGATTACGTTAAATGCGCTTATTTAGCGATAAAAAAGTAATGAGAAAAGCAGAAGATGCATAGATACAAGTTTTACGTGTGATTTTACTTTTCATTTAAATTTTAGCACGATATGGTTTTAATTACATTATATTTTATGCTGATTTTAATACATAATAAATAAAATAATCAAAACTTTTCATTCAGGCGCGTTTTCATTTGTAATTTACGAGCCTACGCTATCTATTCCTTTATTTTTTCCATCCTCTCTCGATCTTTGCGATTTAAAGCTGCAACTGCTATGGATAGGCGTGTCGCATACGCCAGACTCGAGGGGTTCTTTAGTTTCATTCAATTTCAAGCAATTAAACTCTATTGTTAATCACTAGTATCTCTTATTCGTTTGTGATAATCACGCTTTATAAAAAACAAACTCCAAACTGTCATCAGTTGCGTTGCATTGCGTCTGAGCATGTTTTAATGAGACAAACTAAAAATGAAATAGCATTAGATCTAAACCCATGAGTGTGAAAGTGGCAGATATATGTACAACCGTGAATCTAGTAAACATGAGTATACACAATTTTCTTATCATTATCACATCGCGCGGGCGAGCACTCTTTGATAGCAATAATGAAATAAGTTTGCGGCTTCGCAGCAAAACACAAAATAAACCTATTCAAGTGTGAAATCAAATTAATATATTGTTAAAAATGAACTTTTTAACGAAATCCAGAGCTCTATTATCAAAAGGATTGAAACAAAGTTTTTGCCGGAGTGCTGTAAGTTAAAATTATATTCAAACTTTGTATAGCATTGCTAATTACCAAACTAAGAATTCGCATGTTTTGATAACCGAATCAGGTAGGTAATTAATAAAGATAAGGAAACTTTCGAAAAAGAATCTATGTTTTATCTAATTATTTAAATTTACAATAGTTTAAATTTGACAAAACATATTTAATTAACATTTTTAAAGGAAATAAATGACTTGGTTATGATGAAATAATTATATTACTGTTACAATATGACTTTATTATTAATTTATTCTAATGAATACATTTCAGAGTACAACACCTGAAATAAGAATCTATGAAGTAGGTCCCAGAGATGGCCTCCAGAACGAAGCTAAATTTGTGCCCACTAATATGAAGCTGGATCTTATAAATAAACTTGTTGACGCTGGGCTCAAGGATATAGAATCGGCTAGGTAAGTACAGTAACAGTTTTTATTTGTTATATCTTGTTTTATTTTCAGAAATGGGCAGGCTAATTTAATAATCTGGACAGGAATGGCATCGAAGCCTTAACAGAGCACTGAGGGTTTGAGCAAGCACATATCAAATATTGTGCTGAGAGAGAATAGAGAGTGTGGATTCTGCCACAAGGCTGATGAAACTCTTGTGCATCTCCTCACCCACCGCTGCCCCCTGATGGGCATACGAAGTTCCATACTGAGCCAAGAAAATCCTTCAGGTCATTAATGTCATTGGCCTTGGCTCTGAACTGTAATTATTGGTAATGACGATAGATAAAAGCCACATAGGCCATGAAATAAGCCACCCTAATAATAATAATAATAAACCCAGTCAAGATTTTCATTTGTTTTAATTGTTTTTTTTTCTTATTTTCTCAAACTTAATAAATTATAAATTGTTATTTTTTTGAATAAAATTATATTATACAACTGACAATTTTCATTTTAGTTTTGTAAGCCCAAAGCTAAAGCAGATGAGTGATGCAGTAGAAGTAATGAAGAACCTGAACAGAGTTCCTGGAGTTAACTATCCTGTACTCATACCAAACCTTAAAGGATATAATACTGCTGTAAGGTTTTACTTGAATATTTTGTACCAAAGAACAATAAATACAACCTAGTAACTACTAAGAAAAAACTTACTATATTTAGTTACTTAAAACAAATTTGATTTATAAAAAATCTGAAACCCTAATATAACCTTGTTTTTACAAAACAGAAACAATATAACATAGAAGAAATAGCGGTATTCCCAGCAGCCACTGAAGGTTTCTCTAAGGCAAACCTCAACTGCACTGTGGAGGAGAGTTTTCAGAGGGTAAAACAAGTAGCTGATCAAGCTGTGAAAGACGGCATGAGATTGAGAGGGTACATATCCTGTGTGGTGGGCTGCCCTTATGATGGGCCAGTGAACCCAAACGTCGTTGCCAATGTAAGTTTAGCTACATCTTCCTTCTCAAGCGGATTTTTTAACTTATACTATTAAGGATAAGTTCAGGCTTTATGAATAATGAATGTAAATGTAACTACAGATTTACCTATAGATGATGACCATTTGCTTTCTCCTAATATAAGGTTCTTGAAATCGTAAAATGTTAATGAGCTTTCTAATTAAGCCGGTTCTAGATATAGAATATCTGATTACAATGAAATGTAAATTCGGCGTTTTTGTTCTTCAAACGCAGAATGTGTTTTGTATACACCGTCATTCACTTTGGATCTGTATGGAAAGGCTAGGCAAGTGTTTTTGAGCTGTCATCGCAAAGGTGCTTTAGAAACCACGCAACTAAAATCCGAACATATACTAGTTTCGCCATATACTAAGAATAGAAATGATTTAATCGTAACTCATAGGAAGTGTTCAAAAATTATTATCAATATGTCTCAATTGGATTAGAATGAAAAATCCAATTCATCTTCTGCAACTGGTTACGAATAACGATCAAGATTACGGCCGAAACGAGAAAGCAATCCATTTAGCTTTGAAATAAAATCTGTAGGTGAGAGGTAAGTCTATATTTTGGAATTTAAATGTTTTTACAAACATTGCTATAAAATACTAAAAATCACGCAATGGTAAAAGATATTAAGCTCTATACGCGTTTATTTTTTTATTTACCATATTTGATGTTACGATGCCTAATTAACAACCTCATTCTCTTTAAAACGGTCTGTAGTAAAAATTACTAAGGTTTTTTACCTCTCACCTACAGAAATATACTCAAGTGAATAACATGTTGTTTATTGCTTATCAAACAACATACAAGCTTGAGTTAATAATACAAACTAAGGGTAGTAATTATTTATTCTGGTTTTTGTAATAATGATAAAGGCTTGCTTTAATTTGTCAGTACCTATACGACCGATCGTCGTGGAGGTATTTGGGGGAGGCTTATGCCCAGCAGTGTGCGTCGTATGGCTAATAATGATGGTAGGTTACTATGTATATAAAATTTCTTAAGAGCTCCACTGGTGTTTACTCATAGTACAGGAAATTCCCTAGTCTGATTGTTGTATGGCACATTATCGTAACGTCGGTATAATAAAGCCATCAGTGATCATACGTCAAAAGTGCTGTTATCACATGAAAGTCGTAAACTAAGACGACATGAAACAAAGAAACATAAAAAATTTTCGACTAAGTTTGTTTGTAGAATCTTATAAATCTCTCTCCTGAAAAATTGTCATTTTGCAGATATAATAACGAACACACTCATAGCCCCCCACTTGGGAAATCCTGTGTCACGGGTGCTATGGACACATAATAGATAATAGCACGAGAGAAATAGATGTAGATCATACAAATATTTCTCCTGGCCCGGGAATCGAACCCGAGACCTCTGCGTGGCAGTCCAGTGTACCCGTTACCGTGGTAACCGTTTGGCCACGGAGACAGTTTCTTGTGAGATGTGGCCTTATTGCTCCAAAGGTGTTATTGTTATATTATTATGTAGCCGTTAAACTTCTACCTCAATAACTCCTGTGTACCTAGTACCTTTTGTTTTATCTCCTCGTTTACATAAGAGAAAAGTGACTAATAAGTTCGGCCGTCGTTTGACATAGATAGACGATATACTTGGCAAATAGGGTATGATAATTGTAGCTAATCCAAATTATCTAATGTAAGTTTTGAAATCAGATGACAGAACGCCTTCTATCACTTGGGTGCTACGAGGTCTCCTTGGGGGACACCATCGGCGTGGGCACGGCGGGTTCCGTGAGGCGCTTGATGCGCGAAGTTCTCAGCGTAACCACTCCTGACAAGATCGCCTTGCACTTCCACGATACTTATGGCCAGGGCTTGGCCAATTTGGTCGCTGGATTAGAGGTATCAATTATGTTTCTGTAGTAGATAGCCGAACATTCTATGTAATATCATAAGCTAAGTAGGAGTAGGGTAGTATCCCTTGGGATTTCTCCGGATATGTCCGGATTTGACATTTGTTCGGATTTTTCTTCTCAGAGTAACAGTTTTCAGAAAAAAAAGTTAATTATCTACCACGCAATTATGTAGTATAATACACTATTTACGACAAACTTATTTCGTTGACTTGTCCGTCTCTGCTGTCGCGAGATGTTAAATTTTACTTTGTTACTAAAAATTACCGGGCTTCCCTACAAATGTCAGGCTTTTTGTCCGGACTTTTCAAATTTCGGAATCGAATATTTTGTTGGCTTGTCCATCTCTGTTCTCGCGAGATGTTTCATTTTACTTTGTTACTGAAAAGACCGGAATTTCTCAAAAATGTCTTGACTTTTCAATTTCGGAATAAATGGTGGTATAACACGACTTATTAACACGGGGCAGATTCCGGTAAAGAGGACCTAATAAATGCATAAATAGTCATGGCAATTAACTAATACATGATACAACTTTCACATTTAACTACCCTTATTTCTACTGATATCAATGTACGGCCAGTATATTTTTGTTCATACATTAAGTATTTTTGTATTAAATACGAAAAACGAGCAATTCTGTGAAGTCTCTGATATGATAAGACACTCATTTATTCTCTTATCTTGAAAACCTTTAAGTACCAGCTGCAGAGTAACGATAGGCAGATATCTTGATAGGCTTACAGTTACGCTAATAATAAACACACCCATCAAAATTAATAATATTATACCATTCCAAAATACTTAACGGAAATGGTTTTGCAGTTTGGAATCAAGACTGTGGACTCGTCCATATCTGGGCTTGGTGGCTGTCCCTACGCCCGCGGAGCCACAGGCAACCTAGCTACAGAAGATCTAGTCTACTTTCTCTACGGTTTAGGAGTTAATACAAATGTCGACCTAGTCAAGTTGGTCGAAGCTGGACGTTACATCTCGAACTACCTCGGCAAACCTACCGAATCTCGTGTAAACCGCGTCATAAGCGACAAATTTAAAGATCACAGAGACATCGTTAGAATAGCACAGTGCAAAGTTTAGTACCTACAGAACTTTCTTGAACTTGTAAACAAAGCGATAAAATATCGTTGACTTGTATATATATGTGTATTTACTTCTAAACAATGTAAGATAATTAGAATAAACAGGGTTTCACAAGCACATTTTGTTTATTATTTACCTACTTAAAGACGGACGGGACAAATGATTCGTTTTCATGTCGAATGTCGTCAACAATACTGGTTTTTATCAATTATGATATAGGCGGGTGAGCGGTGGCCAGCGGGGCGCACGCACTAGTGCCACAGGCGCGCACCGGGCAGCTCGCTTGTGTATTCAATTGACCTTATTTACACTCAATCTGATCTTGACGAGGTCGATAAACTTCGCAGTGACAGTGTTTCTCTCAGCGCTAGCTCGCTTCGCAGAGCCGGTTTCGCTTTTGTTTGTTTTTATGGAACGCTCGCCTCAGCCAAGAACATGGTGGAAGTTAAGATCACAGACGACATTAAAATCGGAGGCAACAACCCGTGTTTTATAATCGCGGAAGTCGGGCAAAATCATCAAGGTGACATTGAGATTGCAAAACAGTTAATAAAAGCCGCTAAGGTAAGTATTATTCAAAGTTTCCAACAGTTGGTTTAAGGTTATACACTTAGTTTTTGTTTGTGTTGTAATTTGACGTTAAATAGGAAATACTTAAGTACTTAGGTACTTAAATGTAATCATTAAATAACGTCGTCATGTATTTCACGTTCCTAGGTTGAATTAATTTAATAGGCGTGGAATTTGTTTATTTCAATGATAGTTAACAAAGTTTAGCAGAGGTCGATTGATAACTTTTTGTTGTGGAATAAGTAGTTACAATATCCTTCTAGAAAAAATTTATATGTTAGTTAATGTCGCAATAAAGCGGTACAGATAGTAGCTAAAACCGCTCTAGTGACATATAATTTACGCTTGCGAAATACACAGCTCGGTCTAAAGTTGGGTGCCTACGTGCCTAACGCTCTATTGACTCTAGTACTTCAGGAGTGGGTATGGTAAGTACTACTTAGGTACCTACTCTTTGACATAACATTTAATAGTTCGCGTTCACGCTGGTGAACATTGTACTTAAAAGCATAAGTTTGTGAGAACTAAGCCAGAATAAAATGGTTTCATAAATGCCGTGTTTAAATGAAGTCAAGGAAAAATTAGTATTGGTATCGAGTTCTTTGTCATTTGTCACTACAATCACATAGCTTTCAACCTTCATTAAACGAGTAATGTGTCCGACATATCTTTCTGTATCCATTCTACGAGATAACAACAGTGAAATGTTATTGTTGAACAATTTATCTTTGTAGATTTTACAATTTCTTTATTTTGCAACAAACTGTAGCGATAGCGCGTCAAATGTCATGATATTATGAATAATATAATCGTATATTTACCTAAATAGGTGATATGAAAATATTATTGATACATTCCAGGACGCGGGCGCCAGTTGCGTCAAATTCCAGAAAACATGTCTCAAAGAGAAATTCACAAAGAAATATTTAGAACGCCCTTACGACACTCCAAATTCTTGGGGGAAAACGTATGGTGACCATAAAAGACATTTGGAATTTTCGGAAAGCCAATACAGGGAGTTGTTCAAATATGCGCAAGAGGTTGGCATTCCGTTTACAGCTTCGGCTATGGATATGGTAAGAATGTTTTGGGACGTTTATCGATAATCTATTATCTACCTACGATATATTTTACACCCGTCCGTCTGTCTAAATATAAACGAGCGAAAATAAATTTGCTTTGAAGGCAAAATTATCACCATCCTTTTCCTGTTATGTCACTCAGGTTTTCTATAAAAACTTATTATTTCATGCCTGAAAACTATCGCCTATGTACATATTTATTTATTTACTTAACAATAATACGATAAAATCCTTCCAGGTATCGTTCGACTTCTTGGTCAACTTGAAAGTGCCATTCATTAAAATTGGATCAGGAGATTCGAACAATTTATTGTTTCTCAAATACGCAGCTTCAAAGAAAATACCGCTAATCATATCAACAGGCATGGTGGACAAGCAAGCAGTAAAGACTATATACGACATAATATCGGCTCAGCACAAACAGTTCTGTTTATTGCACTGCATATCTGCTTATCCTGTGCCATATGAAGATTGCAATCTGACTGTACTGCTGGATTACAAGAACACGTTTGATGTTCCTGTTGGGTATTCCGGTCAAGAACTCGGGACTGCTGTAGCTTTGGCTGCTGTTGCTCTAGGTGCCAAGGTAATATTCGGAACTACATTACAAAACCAACGTACACATATTTTTACTTAAAAGTAACGGATAGAAGTAGTAAGTAGACTTTCTAAGCCTTGATATTGTGCCTACAAGTTGTTCAATTTCCCCAAAGCTGCACTCAGTTCTGGTTTCTGATGTCAGGACGTGTCGGGATTAAACATACAAACATAGTTAACCTTAAAGAACACGAAAATATTCTTAACCTTATTTTGAAATTCGGTCAAGGACTTTACGGTTTCGGATTCGCGGAAACTGGTTATTATTTTGTCGGACAGATGTTCTTACCTTTCCCTTGTTTTTAAATAAATAAATGGGTTTTATTAGACTAGTTTTTGTTCTACGGTGGAGTTATAGAGCTTTTCTATTAGGAATATTTCAACCATATAAATTGATATCTTTACGGAGAATTTAGGAAATTCTAGAGTTATAACTACTGGTCAATCCTTCATCAGTTTGGGAATATAATTCCAAGAAACTCAAGTACATAACAAAACAATTTAGCGAAGCTAATTATCTCCTTTCCTCAAAATTCTAGGTATTGGAGAAACACATAACTCTGGACAAGACTATGAAGGGTACAGACCACGTGTGCTCGCTAACGCCATCAGAGTTCCAACAGCTCGTGAAAGACGTACGAGTCATCGAAGCTTCGCTTGGCACTCCTGTAAAGAGGGTAGTCACATCAGGTACGAATTCTCCAATTTTATAGAAATGCATTTATCAGTGTGGTGCGAGCAGGTTTCTACTGGTATGAGTTTTAATACACCCTTTTATTCTTTGGCTCTATTTACATTGTTGTAAATAGTCTAGTCTTCGGGAGAATTCTCGCGCAGTATCGAGAATTCCCGCAGGTTCCGTCTCGAATCAAGTTTGTGCGTCACACAATTGACATAAAGTTCATAATGCTATGTTCTATTTCGTTACAAGTATTCGCTTCCATTCCTTTCCGCAGCAATGTAAACTGAGCATTTCAAAATTACTTTTCTCTTTTTTGTAGCAAGTTATGTGGCTTATCCTCGATCTCTCTTATCTTACATTTCTTTATCTTGTGTTCTATTCACGAGTATGAAGACGTTGTTAATAATCCATAACATTAATAAATACTTAACTGTAATCCAGTGTTTACTTTACTGGCTACGTTTGAAATGTTGCGGCTATGAACATTATACAGACTAGGTAAATTCACAATTGTATATATTGTATACTTAAACGTTATAATCATGTTATCTCTTTGGATATAAGTACAGTTATCTAAATGATTTTCAGAAATACCATGCATCGACAAGCTTCAGAAATCTTTAGTGATGGGTAGCACTAAGAACAAAGGGGAGATTTTGTACCCGGGTGACGTCAAAATCAAAGTAGCCGAACCAAAAGGCCTGAATGCCTTGCACTTTGAAGAGGTCATCTACAAAACTCTCGTCTACGACAAGAAGGAGGACGAACCGCTGTACGAAGGCGATTTCTGCTAATTCAGCATCACTAATATACTCATTAATTTACCATGTAACGAAAGGAACAAACATACAATGTACCACTATTGTGATATGAAAAATAATGCATAATATTTACAATGCAATAATTTTAATACCTATATAGTATATCTATCTGTATAACTATGTTTAATATAATGGTAATTAATAAAACGTTAACATTGTTATTTGTGTTATTTTTAATTTATCAAGTTTCACATTGACGTTATTTGTAATATTTATAGCGACTCCACGCGGTTTGACGTCAACTTCCATTCATAAAATATACTCACGAATATGATCGTGCCAACTTTAAAAGCAAACGCATGCCATGATTCCAGTGCAGTGACTTGCGTTTTATATTTCTTAAGTACTATTTTTTTATATATATTACCAAATGACGGGACGAACAAGTCGTATAACCTGGTGGTAAGCGACACACCTGTCCATAGCAGTTGCAGTACCACTCAGAGTTTCCAATCGCAAAGATCTTGGAGGCACTGCCACTGCGCCCGTCACCTGAGACGTTGTTGTTGCCAAATCCCATTTGCCTGTAATTTCACCAGCACCCTTACCCTTCTAAACCGGAACGCAGTAATGCTCACATTACTGCTTGGCGCAGAAATATGTAAGGCGATTCCTTATTCCAGCATGATCATAACAGACTATTTAAAATTTTAATACTGAGGTAGAAAGCAGTCATTTTGTCGGTTCTAACTGCAAAAAAGTAAATTTAGTCGGTGCGCCGTTTCAAACTTGTACTGTCCGTGCCGGACTAAACTTTTACCAGGGGCACCATTCTTCAATCTTAAGAACCACAGTAGAGAAAACAATAATATCGTTATGTAAGGTAACAGTACATTTTACGCTAATTTTCGTAAATTTAAATTTTAACATAGGCTGTATCACACAAAATATGCGAAATACGTATCTAAAAATAATACTTGTACAAAGAAACTACTAATTGTAAAATTTTACGATTAGAACTTACTAATTTACGATTTTATCAGGGTGCAAGCGGATCTAAGGTTGGAGCTGTGATTCTTGAGAATGAAAAATGGTTGAATATGTTTATTCCAGCGTGCACAATGAAATATTCTTAATAACTTTGAAACGGCGTGTATGTAGGCGTCTAAATGTAATTTTTTTTCGATTAAGATGAAAAAATGTACATTGTTTTCCATCATAATCAGCTCTAAGCTAGGTGCTGTAGTTCTCGAGATTGAAGAATGATGCCGCGAGAAAAATCGAACAGGTTTATAACTTTAAAACAGCCAACGACTAAATGTAGTCTTTAATTACTAAAATCGATAATATCACTTTTTTAGTATAATCAGATCTAAGCTAGGTGTTGTCGTTCTCAAGAAGGAAGAATGGTGCCGCTGGCATAAGCTTATTCTAGCGCGGACAGTACAACACCGCTTTTTGCTAAATGACGACTCTATATCTGACTAGTCAAATTTAAAATATTCGATTATGATCATGCAAAATATTATAATAAAGTAGGTATATTCATCTTACTCGTACATTGAAACAATCATCGTGAGCAATGTGGCGCTGCCGCAACGCACTCCGGTAACGTCCGGTATCCGCGATGCGGCAAGGTACCCCCTGACGCACTTTATTAGCGAATTGATTTTATTTTTACGGTCGGTTAGAGTAGACCAGCGGTGAGCGGCGTGTGGTGTAAGAGAGCATAAGTGGCGCAGCGGGCGCGCCGGGTGTTGGCTCGGTGCCCGCTCCGCTGCCAGTCCCCGGAGCGCCGGCCCCATCGCCGCCTGCGCCGCCCGCCCAACGCGCCCTCTCCAGCGCTTCAGCATCCGCATACCACTAGTGCTCCACGTCGCTCGCTACGCACACCAGGGCGCGCCCACTCAGATTATCCTCTCCAAAACCGGAACACAAAAACAATCTACATCACTTAGCAGTGTTTGTGTTTGCGGTAGAAAGTTGGAGAAATAGTAGCGAATCCGTAGCTGCCGATTTAGGTCGCCCGGTTCGGTGCTAGCAGCGGGATATTTTTATTGCCACCGTTGAGTGCAGACGGACGTGCGCCCATGCACGTTGCTGGTCGAATAATTTATTATTTATAGCATAGAATTGTATAAAGCTCATTCCATAAACATTCGTAGCTTATCCTAGACTACGTTTACGTCGGAATCTTGGACGACTGGCATTAGTAATAAGAGAAGGAATGTGATAAGTGATCGATTGGAGTAAGTGGCATTTAGGTGAAATCTATGACATTTGTGAAGTGCATTTGATACGTTTGTGAAGTGTAGTGAGGATGCACCACCTATACCCGAAGGTGAAGGGCGACCCCATGTGCCCACTGGGGTTCCACCCGCAGGTGCGGTGGCCAACACGGTGCAAGCGCTGCTTCCGCGACTACAAAGAGCATGGTGGTGGTAACGGCGCACGCAAGAGCCAAGACGACTTCACGGCATCCACACCCAGCCTCTCCAGTTGGAACTCGCCATCGTCACGGTCAGTTTGCAGTTCTTAAAACAAATCTTACAGCCCCAACAGAGGATATCTAGTATGTAGTCGACCGAATTGATCTTCGATAGTGTGGATTGCGGTGATCTTTTTCAAGTCTCAAGTAGGTACACATCATATCTGCTATTGGTGTTTGTAGAGAACGTGTCGCACTACATTTTCAGATGTAACTTAGGCAATGCGTAACTAAAATAGGGAAATTTATGGGCATGATTACCGAGCACAAGGGAATTTATTTACTGTTGTACTTTATCAAAAATTACAATGATGACAAATAACTAAATATGTGCTTAGGGGAGCGTGGGGGAATGGGAGCCTACTAAGGAAAACTGACAATAAAACTCATAATTTATGCAATTTAAATTTTTATTAGTTATGAACGTACGCTTCACATATCTAGGTACACAGACAAAATGTGAAACTAACATAAAATATTTGGTTAAGAAAGAAAAAACAAAACATGTCATTCGCTCTCATTACCCCACAGAACTGGAAATGGGAGTCGGTAAAATCTCGTATGTCAAATGGGAGCCATTATATATAATCAGTCTGAAAAAAAATTAAAGTAATAAAATATATAAGTTAAAAACTACCTAATGAAAATAAACAAGAAGTGTTAACGGAATATCCAGTGAGATAAGGAGAGCCAAAAAGCTCTCATTACCCGCGTAACATCGAATTGAAAAAGGAATAAAACACTAAAAACATTTCTATTTTTATTGTGATTTCAAGCACAACTTCTAAAATTTGACAGATATGGTGACATAGCTACTGTAAATACAATGTAGCATTTTAATGCTTACCTGGGATGATGATATAAGCGCGGAGTGAAAAACACACAACCATCTCATACGACTAAACGCGGGGTTCTACGGGGGCGCCCACGGGACTCGAACCTTTTCGAATGTTAACGTTAAAGACATAGGAGTGTCGTTTGCACAAATACGAACATTGGGATAGTCCAGTTTAACACCGCTCTCATTACCCGCGGGCTCCTAATACCCCACGTTCCCCTATAACAAGGAATAGGTAAATACACTAGATACTATTGTGGGCCCTGATGTTTATGACATAAAGTTGGTCTTTGGTTGGTCTAGTTCAATCAATTTATCGTTGTGAATAAAACACATATTTAAAACGTAGATTTATACAGTTTTGCATCTACTCACAAGACCGTAGTTAAACAACGTAACGGCCTTCATAATCCCAAAGATAAACTTTAGGAAATGAGTTTATCCTAATTTTGAGATTGTTTAGATACTATATTTGTGTAGTAAAAGTAAACAAGAGTAATGAATTTATTAATGTACTAAATACGTGTTTATGTAGATCGTATTTATAAATAAAACTGGGAACGCACGATTTATTGATTTTCAGGAATAATGCATCCGGCAAATACAATGATTTGCTTATGAACTATTTTTTGTTGGCTAGTGACGCGCTTGTCGAATATTTTTGTTTTTGCATTTAAATATCTGATATTTGAAAACTTGTTGACGTCACGAGCGCAGATAGAAAGCTAGAAGTTGATGATAATTACTTTATTTTTACCAGTACCTAAACGAGAAAGTATTATTAGTATTAGAAAAGTAACACTCAGAATATTCGTAAATTATCATCTGTTGCCCATAAGAAACAACAACCAAATCGATGGCAAGATTCCAAATTCCTGAAGATTTTGTGGATTGTTTGCATTGCGCTCGGTAGGTGCCGACGCCTGTGCGCGTGCGCAGGCGTGTCTTGCGGGGCAAAACGGAATAGGTCCATGCACTTATTATCGTGAATACAACTATACATTAAACACTATGAGTACACAATTCTTCTTATTGTATCGGGCAAAAAGATTCGTCAATCCGCGTAAAGTACTCTCCGATTGTTGCCCAGGGTGCGCGACGTATAGAAAGAAATGTTAAGTCTTGTGGGTAGTCTCCTTTCGTGGACACTTTAAACAGATTATCTTTCATTTAATCACGCGCATAAGTACGACAAATCACATTCTACGGAGAGTACTAAATAATGAACCAACCCCCAGCACACAAAATGCCTCGTGAGGTCGCGCTTGATTCCTTTTTTTTGGCTCACAACTTGAAACTTACACAATACATACACATAACAAGCACTTTAAATATAGTACATTGAAGAGTTCCTTATAATACTGAACACAACATACATTACTAACATTCTATTAAAAAATATGAACATAACTGCATAAAAGAAAAAAACAAAATTACAAATGAAAACTCACAACTCATGAAGTGCTTTGTACGGTCAAGAGTATGTCAAACTTGACACTTAATATTTAAATCCAGCTCTATGCCGCTTGCGATAAAAACGGTCCAAAGTTCAAAGTGTCAAGCTTGACGTGCTCTTGACTGTACCTACCCTTTTATTCCTTGCCTGTTGAGGCCTGTATCTTCAAGATGCGGACTCTTATCTACGATATTGGCCCGGTAACGACATATATAAGAAGGCATAGTTAGTAAAAGCTCCTAAAATTAAATTAAAAATGAGCTCTATTTACAAAGCTACCGAAAACTTATGAAAATAAAAATATGCAAACGACCGAAAGAAACCAGCTTAATTTCTATTTTACCGAAAAGTATTGTCAGCCATTTTATTGGAAATCACCTATTATCAATATAGAAGCGACCTTATTACGTTTCATACACTTTGGTGCTTATAAATATGCGGTGGTACGCAAATACTATTATTTATTAGTGACAACATAGAACATCATATATTAATATTTCTTTCGGAAGTAGTTTTCTTTCAAAAGAATTGTGATTTCAACAAGCTCTTGGTTGTTTGCTGAATAAGATAAATTTTGTCGGTATATCTATTCTGTGTTTATTTTTCAGTAACTCATTTTAACGCAGCTTAACTTAGATAGTATTACAGCTAACTGTAATTAAAACTATAGCTAACTATATTTCACTGGAATTTAATTTGTTTATCGGAACCTTTATTATGTCCCTGTAAGAAACAATAACTGTATGTACCTTCCTGTCTATGCAAATGCAGAACCTACTTTGTACCACCGCCCCATAATAATTTATGTGGTCACTAGGATACTTCCTTAGTGCCGTAAATACCTCGACTCATCCGTAGAACAAAGATCTATGTGCAAGATGCTGCTTATTCTCGGGACATTGTACATTTCGTTTGTTGTTCTGACTGCGGATATCCACAGTCAAGTTCGACTGTAGTTCGATTTTATATTTCCGAAACGAAATAATAAATACATAAAGAATCTGAAAAAACCTTTATGTAGGCCTTTTGAATAACGAGATTGTGACGGTGTGACCTCCTTACACCGTCATCTCACCTTTTTGTATCGCCTCTCTCCGCTTGTATCCTATATTTTTTTTATTTTACATGTATTTAAATTTGAATTGTTTCATCTTCCTTCACTTTCTCATTTTGTTTTCGTACCACGGTCACTCCCTCCTTGACCGCCACAACAGTCGGAGCTGTTTCAAATTCCACCGCGTATAATCGCTAATTTTGGTTCTTTACTACGTTTATAATCATTAAATAAGCTAAATCATGTGTAATAATTCATAACAGCCTACAGCTTTCATGTACCTATATCTATAATTCAGTTACTCGGCCCATTTAGGGGTAAATGCCTTTATTAAAGTGTAGGGAATGTTTTTTTACTGTTGTACCATGGTTGTACCCATAGATTTAGTATATCCATAGATTGGCCCTGAAGTACTGGAGACGAGACCAAAACAAAAATACATCTGTGTGCGTATAATGTGCATGTGTGCAAGGTAAATAGTGTTGCGCCATCCACTGATTTAACTTTGATATCGATTAACATATTACACCGGCGTTTCACTTCGTCGTATTCACCAAAATGTCTTATCGCAAAACGCCGAGACGTTAATTAACTAATTAATTAATGATTCAATACAAAATTAAGAAAGCTACTATCACCTTCTGGCAGTGCCATAGGATGGTAGATGGTAAACAATGGGGGACTTTCACCCAAGACAACACTATGCCTCTACAAAACGGTGATAAGACCCATGATCAGTTACGGCGCGATAGTTTTTCAGGTTTTTTCTTTTCGTATCTAGGCGCCTGTTAAGAAGATCAATAGTTTTCTTCATTTTTTCTTCCTCGGGGATATATCTCGATCGAGATTGTTTGCTATAGAGCTACTGGGTACTGGCGATATATCTCTGTACACACATGAAGATACCTTGCGTCTTGGCTTCAATGTAACCTACAAACAAATATAACTATTATAATTATTGTATGATATCATGACATAGAAGTGAATTTGCAAATAAGTAATAGAACCAAAAAACCGACCAGGTACGAGTTGAACTCGCGCGGAGAGGTTTCCGTACAAACATTGTAGTTGAAGAATATATTCTCTAATAGATTCCAACAGCAAATATAGGTTTATTCGCACAGTAGTGAGAGATTTAAAGACAATTTCTGTATTTTTTTTCAAAACTTTAGGCTCTGTAGTTTCGAAGATAAAGGGGAGAATGATAAATTTTCGTCTATTTTCTTAAACAACTTAAAAATATTTATATTTCAAAATTACAAAAACATATACTTGAGAACTTTCCCTCCCAATAGTGACTTCAAATTCAGAATTAATTTATTTACGTTACACGTTTTGGTCACACAAATGCATATGTGTGCCAAATTTCAAAATAATCAGTCCAGTAGGTTTGGAGTAAATTGGCTGTGACAGATGGACAGATGGACACACAAGTGATCCTATATGAGTATCGTATTTCGGAACAGAACAGAACTCTAACAACAACAAATCGCTGATTTGTTGATGACGACAGTAGTACTACACAAAAATCCATTAATTGTAAGACATACCGGCATGAATAATGTGGGTACAAAACCAGAACGAAGCTTTAGTCTTTGCTTGCCTCTAAAGATAAAGCATTTTTCCTCAAAGTGTTTGCTACACATTTTTGAAAACTTTTCGGGAACCCAGTCTTCTCTCTTTAGCATTATAAGCCATTTCTGTCGTACTTCAATGTTTTGAGGAAATCTGAATCAACAACAATAATTAACATAAATAAATTGGTGCCTCAACTACGCTATTAAAAGAAATTTTCGTTTTAATGTAGACAAAAAAAAATGCACTAATGCAATATTAATTAAATATAAAGTACTAAAACCAGAAATTTCTGATCCAATAAAATTAAGTATGAAGTTGATTTCGGCTGTATGCAAGCCACGCCTTTGCCTTTCTTTTTTTCAGTTAATGATATCTCGATAACATATTATCGATTGCGTCAATCTCTATGAAAGTGGTGTTATGAATTTCAGAAATTCACGTATTTGATATATTTTTTAATAGAATTCATACACATTTGTGTTATGCACTATAATATAATATAATGCACTTGAATGGTATAATTTTACGGATATACCTATGTTTATGTAAAAACTTTTGTGGTAGTGCTTTTAGACAGCTAAACATTGAAATAGTACTTACATGTGATATGTACAATTCTGCGAGTTTTCCTTTTCAGATGAGTTACATCCGGGCACTGAACACGTTACCATGACTAATAAACTTCCGTTTAACACTATTTCACATTTTAAAACCAATTATTTTTCAAAAATAAACGAAATTTGTTTCGTTGTCAGCTGACCCTAGGTTCATACAGGCGCATAGCGTATAATGAAGTGGTCTCCTCTACCTATCTCGTTCTAACATACGTGTATACTAACGCTCTTTTACTTGCATTGCCAATCTATGGGTACCTATATACTAAATCTATGGTTGTACCTGTATTTTTTTTACATTTACCTTTATATTGTTTCAGCCTTAGAATAATAACGCATAGAAACCTAGCCCGCACACGCTAAGTGAGGCAAATTGAAGCGCTCCCAAAGGGCCTACACGAGCGGGCGGGCCTTCAGTGCTCAAGGTCAACTTGCACCGCGAATAGCTCCAGAATTTTAGCTAAAAATGACGAAACGTGCGGTAAATGAGTGTAAAAATGCGTCAGACAAACATAAAATAGATACTAACATCACATTCCACAAGGAAGTAACGCGTTTCAACTTATATTTTTATATAAATATTCACTAAAACCGAAAATTAACCTAAATACTACTAAAATAAGCCTACATGAATTTGATTTTTGCCTCACTTGTGACAGTTCGTTTGATATGAAACAATCATTCTATGCGTTATTATTCTAAGGTTTCAGCCCTTTCTTTTAACTTTACTTCTTTAATAAATTTTGTGGACCGGAAGTTTCCCGTTTCATTGCCGTGAACCTGTTCACGGCTAGTTAGGGTTACAACCCTTTCAATATTATGTTTTAACCTTTTTGCGCTATATAATCACATAGCACTTTGTTTTTGGGTGAGTCGACCTAGAAACAATTGTTTCTACTTTCTGCCGGTAGACTGTCTGTTTGCCAACTTGTATACCATAAAATTTCATGTTCATTAGTGGACGTCTTTCGGTTAAAATAATAATAATGATACTATAAAAAAAATATGATTTGTTTCCCTATATATATTTGTGTCAATTGTATATAAATGAGTATACATTATTATACTTATAATATTTTAATATAGGAGCAGATAATATAATACCTACTAGATCAGTATTCAATATATGACATTCCGTATTTGCCTCTTTTTAAACCCTAATATCGATGAGTCCTAAGTATAAGGGCCAAACTAACAATTTGATCATTTACACTTTTTTGTGGGAAATGCTTCATTTCATTATAATCTATAAGGTAACGTTAAAAAAAAACATTCAAGGAAATATCGAAATACGAGCAAATCTTGATAATATATCAGATTGAAAGTTATTGTGATGACCCATCGATATGACCCTAATTTACTATCATAAACTTGCCTTATTTAAATTGTTTAAGGCGAGTATTTAAAAATAATATGAATAAAATAAGATCAGGCGGACATATTTGACACAGATCCGTAGACAAGCGTCCGATGGCGGCTGACGGGGCAATGGGCGGCTCGGCGTGTCGTTAAACGGTTGCCCAATGTTTAACGTTTACGATTTAACGACACGCAGAGCAATTTTCAAGTTTTGGGATACATGTGAATTTAACAACTATAGGGCTTCAGTAGAAAGTCAAAATTTAGCAGGTTCTCTGTAGTATTTAAAGAGAATTGCCTCCTTATAAAAATTATGTGCAAAGTTAGATATTTTATTCTCACATAATTCGTTTCGAGTTTTATTTTAACCTGTTTCCGGAATGTTATATTATCGAATAAAGTACATTCTATCGTGTAACGAATTAGCACATTCTTTAGACAATGACCTTAGGTGTATCGTATATTTTTTATAAGATCATTATTTAATAGTAAATACCTAAACCATTTAATCTAGCAAAATAGTTATTCCCGCTTCTTATCCGGTGACTCGCCATAATTGCTACTTAATAAAGCCGTCTATTGCACGTCGGATTAAACTTTTAATATGGAATCAAAAACATCATAACACACGTAATTTATTTTTTAATCCTTTTATAAAATGTGAAAGTTATGCAGACGAAAATAAAAATATTAATAAAAATGAAAAAATAAAACGAAAAGTTTTTTATGACCGGCTTAAATAGATACCTTGTCGATTAGTGTGGTAAATCCCTTTCTCGTCTCATGAAGTAACATAAAATCCTGTTGGAGCTTTGACGAACTACCTACAAACACTTGATCCGTTTTCACTACTCAGAGGACAATGGATATCATGTATATTTTAGCAGTGGTAAAGCTCCTTGTGAAAGTGTTTACTAAAGAGTCCAAGCAATACTGCCACCTTACGTATTTCTGCCGCCAAGCAGTACCTATGCGTTACTGTATCCGGTTTTGCAGTGTAAGAGTGGTGATGAAATTATAGACACATGGGACTTATCAAATTATGTCTCAGGGTAACGGGCGCAATGGCAGTGTCAGATTTTTGCGGTTCTGAGTGGCACTGCAACTGCTTTGGACAGGCGTATCGCTTACCACCAGGCGCACAACTTGTTCGTCCCGGCACTTGGTATCGTAAAAAGAAACATACGGGATTTTACAAGAAACATAATATGTTATATTATATTATAACAGCAATAGGTAAAGGAACGATAATACACACATCAAAAGTGTCTAGGGATCAAGTGAATATTTTTGAAATAAAAATTATTTAAGCAATATTTACCAAATCCAGTCTTCCAGGACGACTTCTTACTTTAATGCTTATGTTTTATTTAACCGCTTACCCCTATATTTAATTAAAATAAACTAAAATTCATGTTTTTGCAAATTGTGGGAAAAAACTCAAATTAACGGCGTCAATTAACTGACAAAAAAATGGCGAAAATGATGATTTTGCTCATTTTTATTGTAAAGATAAGAAAATTAATAATCTGTATGTCCACCATTAACACGACTCACACAATTACAGCGATTTGGCATGCTTAAGATGAGTTCATGTGTTTTGTAACAAGTCAAAATATTGTTGTAGAGTATGTACGGTATGCATACTCGGCACAGCTCTTCCTTGAAGCATATCCCATGCGTGCTCAATTGGATTGAGGTCTGGCGATTGAGCAGGCCACGGCAGAACGTTGATACGAGCTTCGGCAAGAATGCGTGTTACGACTCTAGCCGTGTGTGGACGTGCGTTGTCATGCATTAGTTGAAATGAATCACCCAACTAGCCTCGCAAAGGGATGATAACATCTGAAACAATCCTCTCTGCGTAAACTTGAGCATTGAGGTTACCCCTGATCCAAATGAGATCGGTTCTTCCGCCGATCCAAATACCGGCCCATATCATTATTGTTCCCCCACCATATGGATGAACTTCCTGACAATATCTCAAACGTTCATGACGTCCAGATGTTCTCCAAACTCGAGTACGTCTTGTATCCAGTCTCATACCGAAGCGGGATTCATCTGAAAAGCACACATAGCGCCAGTCTTCTTCCTCCCAGTTTCTGTGTTCGCGGGCCCATCGTAAACGGGTCCTGCGATTGCAGGGTGCAATAGGTAGAACTCTGAGCGGCCTTCGGGATCGCAAACCCACTTCACGTAAACGATTTCGGATTGTTTGATCGCTTATTAGCAAGCCTGAGGAGCTGTGGAGCCTCGTAACCAACATCATGGCGGTCATGGTACGATTCCGTCGAGCAGTATTTTGGATGTACCGGTCCTGTCTACGAGTCGTGATGCGAGATCGTCCTCCATGTCGCTCGGCCACGCTGCCCGTCATGCGATAGCGCGTCCAGAGGCGACTTATGACGCTCTGTGTAGTGTTAAGAGTGAAAGCCACAACACGTTGCCTGGAACCAGCTTCCAACATTCCGACGGCTCGCATCGTCACTTCTCGGGTTAAATGATGTCGTCTCTCAATAATAATGTAAATTGTTTCGGTTCCGATGCAGATATCGTAATGATTTTGTCAAAACGCTATAACTCATTTTTATACAAAACCACATTGACAATCGATTTTCTTCTTATTATCGAATTTTAAACAATATTCCTTATTTAAATGTTAAAACTCACTAAAAAGTATCAATAGCGATACAAAAAAGTTAATATAATTAACCCTAATTGCAGCAATACTCTTAAACGTACTTGATCCCTAGACACTTTTGATGTGTGTATGATATTTGAAACGTATCGTAAAAAGAAACATACGGGATTTTACAAGAAACATATAACAGCAATAGGTAAAAGAACGATAATATGATATTTGAAACGTATCGTAAAAATAAACATATATGATTTTACAAGAAACATATAACAGCAATAGGTAAAGGAACGATAATATGATATTTGAAACAGGAGTCGTGATGAAGAAAATGGTGCAGACGTGGGGAAGACGGGCCGCAGTTGGGCATCCAGCACGAACCTCAGTACAGTCGAACAGCCAAAAAAGGACAACTTCTCCACAGGTAACGATGAACGAATTTATAATGATACTAAAGCTCAATTTACATTACTGCAAAACAGAATAGAAGCAAATTGTACGAACTAGATACGAACCAATAAACTAGGTCACGCGTCTTCTGAAAGAATTCTCACTGAGTCTTGGGGATTCCAGCAAGTACCTTATCGTATCTAGTTTGTACGTTACGTAATTGACATCAAGTTCATTATGCTATGCAGAGATGGGCAAAAGCCTGGTTTTAACCACACGCTTTGTTAATTGGTTTAAAGCCCATTGCCGCCCGAAAGCGAAGACAAAATCTATTTAGAAGTAAATATTTGTTGTAAATCGAGTTTTAATAAAATTTAATGTTATTATTACAAAATGTTTATTGCTTTCTGATGCTTTAAGACTATTCGAGTTGTCTGTCTATTGAATAAATTCGCTTGAAAATAGCAATGAAATAAATCGTTTCAAGTAATCGTTAGATCATACATGCACTTCAATCGATTTTCATAAAAATTGAATCGTAGGTAATTTGCATCCTTAGTAGTGAGAATCCCCAGGATTGTAGGTAAGGTAGGAATTGCCTCCTTTTCGTCTAAAAAAGATTTTGTACATCGAAATTTGTAATAAGTATGGAATTATACCAAATTCCGTGTTCGCCTTTTCCGCCCACGATTTCGGGCAGAAATGGGTTAAACCCCGGGCGAATTGATTATGTTTCAACCCGCTGCCCGTCTCTGATGCTATGTACAATTTCGTTACAAAAATCCGCTGCCATTTCGTTCCACGGCAATGTAAGTTGAGCCTAAGAATCATCTATGTTCATAGTTAGCTATAAATAATCTGTAACACATCTGTTAAAAATGCACACGAGCTGTGATATAAAAAACGGACAAAAAAAACATATTAATAGTAATGAGTTCAAAGAAGTCAAGCACCACCTCCGTTATTCAACTCCTTTGTTTGTAGGGTTCAGTAGAACCAGCGCATCGTGGACGTCGACGCCTGACCTGGGGGCTAACGACACCGAATCGACCGCCGTCACCGTCAGCCTCAAGCTGCCCAAACGGCGAGCTACGGGACCACTACCGACCTTAGACACGGGACAAAATCGTAAAGATATAGGTAACCTCGCAAACCTTGACTTGGTACTTTTATTGTTAGAAGTCATTGTCATACTGCCAGATAAACCTTCATTTTAGCTTTGGACCGTAAATATCTCACCCATAGTACATCATTCTAGTAAAATCTGCAAGTATTGAAGTCTATTGACAGCACCGCTTACCAAAAAAATCATTTTGTGTACAGTCGACACGGTGACAATACGTCGACCGTCGCCATCGCCACCACCTCAAACCGTGCACCTCACCATCAACAAGAATGATTCTCTCGCAGAACGCGTACGAAAGGTATTACGACTTAAATCACACATTATCATGTTTTTAAATTAGCAGTTTTCAGAAAGTTTTGGAAATTCTTATCTCCACATAAACGAAAACATATTAGTTGCCTATCCATTATCTTGGCAGACAATCTTCCCCTTGGAACATCATACAGTGAACTTAAAAACAGGTCAAAGTAATATATCTGTCTGCTATAGCTTTTAACTACTGTTGCGATCTGAAACCAAAAATAAACATAAAAGGTCGCCATCGAACTTAGTACTTGGCAAACTGCAAGACGATATAATCAATTGAGGAAATGTCCAGTAGGTTATTTATAAATCACGCTTCGAATCACAAAAAACCTAATAAAAACTACAAATAACGATGAATATATAATTATATAATTTCAGATGCAATTAATAAAAGCTCAAAATAGTTTTGAAAAAGAATCCAGTTTAGAGAAAGAAAGAGAAAGACGAAGCGTGTCCAGGAGTAAAGAAGAAGAAAAACCATCAAGACCGCAACCCAAGGAACAGAAATCTTCTGCTAAAGATGATGTAAATTTTATGATACAAGTACGTGAATAATATTATTATAAAACGTAAAAAATGACTATATAACTATAGAAATGTTACAATAATTATTATTATTAAAATGGTCTTAAATTTGTTAGGTAAAGAGTTCACGACACACAACAGCCACGGCTAAACCTCCAAAAAAAGGTGGCCCATCAAAAGAAAAGGAAGATGTGTCAGACGACGAGGCAAGTATTGCTGGAACAATCACAACAGAAACCACTTTAGTCGACGCTAACATCAAGGATTATCAGGTAAATGTAAAGCAGTGTCTTTTAAAGGTAAAAAATTAGGCACCTACTTTTAATAATTATCTTCATCTACAGGACCAAATAGAAAGTCTGAAACAAGAAGTTGATACGCTAAGAAAACGGTGTGAAAGGGTAGAAAAAGAGAAAAGTGACATTCTTCTTCGAAGGTTAGCAAACATTGATACAGCTAATAAATATACCACGGGAAGATCCTCAGAAGTGTTAAAACTACAGCAAAAGGTCAATGAACTTAATGCGCAAAACGAAGATTTGAAAGACGAGAAAAAACATCTGTCATTGAAAATCAAGGAGATAGAATGTGAACTTGAGGTAAATCAAAGTATTGTTGAAATAATGTATTTAGTAACGCGTAAAAAATAAATTACTTAATAAAGACCGCATCTTCGTTTTCTTAGTCCCGGTCAGCAGTGGAAGCACAAACCCGCCAGATTGAACAACTCAGGGCAAAGTTAATAGCTGCAGAGACATTGTGCGAGGAACTAATGGACGAAAATGAAGACATGAAGAAGGAGCTTCGAGATCTCGAAGAAGAAATCGAGGAAATGCAGGACAACTTTAGGTATTAACAATAAAAAAATCCTGAAACAAATCTATCAGCTTTAAGTATATACTGAATATTTCAGAGAGGATCAAGCAGACGAATACTCGTCGCTGAGAAGAGAACTGGAGCAAACTATCAAGAATTGTAGAGTTTTATCATTTAAATTGAAAAAAACTGAAAGGAGGGCTGATCAATTAGAGCAGGAAAAAGCTGAACAAGAAAAAAAATTGTTAGAGGTAAAAATTAAAACTACAATCTATGGACACTACGAATAAAATCACGTTAACTATATTTGATTTAATGTTTCCAGTTAGTCGGTGGCCAAGAAGGTTTACAGAGGGAGAATCGTATCAAGGAACTGGAACAAGAAGTAGCACGGTCCAACGAGGTGGCGCTGCGGTTACAACGAGAACTAGCTGATGCTAACACGAAGTTAGTTTCTGCATCTGGAGCACCACCTGCTAACCTCAAGAAGCAAACAAGCCTCACGGAAGGTGTGAGTATTAAAAGCAATTGAAATTGATAAAATAAAAGAAATAAGACTTATCGCTTTTTCGTTAATCTACTATTAAAACAGGCTTGTCCAATTAACCACAGGTGACACTATCCAAATTATTTTATCCATTTGTCAATTAACAGAAAGTATCACGTTCTTCGCTCACACGTGGAGGCAGCCAAGAAGATCCGGCGCAGTTATTGCGTGACCTCCAAGATTCTTTGGAACGAGAAGCAGACCTTCGGGAACAACTACGTAATGCTGAAGAAGAGGTAATGCTGGACTCTTTATTTACATTCTTGTCACTGTTTGTAACACAGCTTTTGTAAACGTATCACCACGCAGCAGCAGGCAAATATAATAAATCCCATAAATAATGTACAATAATAGATTCTTGTGTATTAGTTCTAAATTGAGTTAATATCGATGTGCTCTGTTTCAGCAATAACTCACTACTTGTTAACAGTTTAATGCCAGGTCCACTTATTTCTGCAATCAGTTGGTTTTAGTAGTGGAACAATTGCATTTAATAGGGCATTAGCTCTCAACCAATGCCAGCTGGCGCACTGCCAGACGTGGACTGACTCAACGCCGCGACGCAAATACACCATCCATAAATAATAGTTCTTTAACTATCTGTTTTTATCTATAATGGTATCTGCTAATAAATTTATAACCGTACACGCGTAATGTTATATGTAGTTTAAAGATTAAAATATTGCCTAATTAAGAGACCCCTTATATCTCCGAACAGGCTAGTCGATATCGACAACGCTTCGGTGGACGAAGAATACCAGTACCGCCAAAAGGTTTTAAGTCATCCCACCCCAATCTAATACCTCCACAGAACTCTACTATTGTAGATATCGAGGCGGTTCGCATGCAAAACGCTAATAAGCGTTTAATTGAAATGCAACTCGCATTAGAAAAGGGCTTATCATCTCTAGATGTAAACCAAATAACCATTGGAATAAATGAAGCCAGTCAGTCTCCTCAAGATTTCATACAAAACTTCTCTCAGGGCTGTCAAACTGATATGTTGATGATTCATGACGTATCTACGGAAACCAGAAAAATAACACTAGATTTTAGTGAACAGTGCAACGACGATACATTAGAAAGGTATACGCAAACTGAGACTCCTTTTACGAAATCGAAAAACGTGCAAACAGATTTCATAAAAAGCAATGGTTTTACTCAAACAAATAAATTGAAATCAAGACACGCTTTCGTCCAAACAACAGGCAAACTGTACAGTGACAAGAGTGAGCAAATCGCAAAGATCGAATTAGATAAAGTCGACTCTTTCACGGAGACTGAAATAACAACTGTATACAGTCAAGGAACTTTAACGGAAAATATGCAAGTTCATGATACAATAGACCTAGATGATATTCGTAGAGACATAAATACTGAACTAAATTACAACGATGAAAGTAATTTAGTATCTATCGTCCCAAACCCACAGACAAAAGAAAAGTCAGAAAGTCCACCTCTTTCTCCAGATAAAAGTACAGCAGGCCCCTCATCTTACTTTTCGTTCCCCTTCGTTTCACTATTCAGACCATCATTGGTCGTAAAATTACCAACAATAGGTACTTATAACTTTTACCCAACCAATTTATGTTGTTTTAATTTTTAGTGCCGTACTGTATATAACTGTCTGCCCTTAATAAATAGCATAGAGTAGAGGGTGGTGTCCACTGTCATCGGCTAATGATAACTAACGAATATTTTCAGGCAAATAACTTGCGTAAAACTGCATCACGGGTCGAGGATGACAATGAGTCCTTGCTTCTACAGCTGAAGAAAATGGCTACCAAGGCCAGAAGTACGTCAAACTAATTATGTTATGGGAAATCCTCGCAGTTTGTCGAACCCCGAAACCTAATCCGTTCATGATAAGTAACCATTCACTCGCAGCATACTCCGTAACAATCCAATGTTTTTCTGATCCACCTTTTCGCTCTGCCTTTATTTTAGATTTTATTACTAACACGCTTTTCTATTCGAATACAGCAGCGTAGGCGTATCGATGGTAGCCATTTTCTCCAGTTCAGTGTGACACCTATTTTCAATATCCTTTAAAATTTCTAAATATATGTAAACACCATCATAGTACCTGATTGGTTTTACACGGTTAAGTAAAAGTTACTACAAAACACTAATTTTCCTTAAATATCACGATAACTGACGTTTTCTGTAACTTACTAAAACTGTCCTCGCTTAAAATTATACATAAGCTTTTCTCACTTGCCTTCATTCTGAATGCTGTTAATGCATTTTCTTCAGGTCGCAAGTTGTCACCTACACCACCAACCAACAGACTAGCTATTGAGGCGCCCAATGAGAAAGATGAAGGCATATCTGACGAAGAAGATCCTGCAGAACTACGGATCTTACTTGAACTTAATGAACAGGTACAATTTAATTTGTTAATTATTAGAAAAAAAGACGGTCCTAAACTACTTCAACCTCACTTTACAAAACTAACTTCTAATAGGAAGCTGCGGTATTACGACGAAAGGCAGAAGAACTGGAACAAGATAGAGACTCACTGAAGAAACAAGTAAAAGAATTGTCTGAAAAGATTGCCAACTCTGCTACTAAAACTAACACAACTACAACACTTGGGCTCCGTAGGAACTCTGCTAAAACAAATAATTTAGCTGAAGAGAAAGTGAAGGTGAGTAAATGATAAAGTAAACTAAATCCAATGCTTAGAAATCCACTTTAAATTAAAGATGTAAAGTACTCCTTAATAAAAATCATTTTGTTCGTAGGTGTTAGAAGATGAAATAGCTGAACTTCGGAAGAAGCTCATCGAGAAGGAACGAGACTGTGAACGCTTGCATGCTGAACTTAGTCTAGCACAAAAGAAGCCCAAAGCTTCCTTAATTAAGAGCAAGTGTGTATATACATCTATGGAAATATAAGATTCGTAGATGAAAAATAAATTCTTGTACCTAAAAATCCTAGCATTTATGATCGATGATATTATTTTTTGCAGATCCTTAGACGGCGACCAGCAAAACGTGGATTTGAAACGTCAACTTCAAGTAATTGAACAAGAAGCCACAGTTCTTAGAGCCAAAACTCAGAGTTTAGAAGCTGACAATGAAAAACTACAAGCTGAAAACAAAAGGCTGCTTGTAAGTAACTCTACAATGAATTCACTGTTTTTCAATTGCTGCAGTAATACGTAAAACAAAACTAATCGTAATTCTTTTATTGTAGCTACTAAAGAATACAAAAACGTTAAAATCTGACAAATCTTTAGAACAAACCGGGACTAAAATAACACAACTCGAAACAGAACTAAAGGAAGCTTTACTTAAAATCAAGGAGTTAGAAAATAGTAAAGAAAAGGAAGAAAAGACTGAAAAGAAAGTAAGATTCGGCGACGTTCCCAAGGAATCAGATTCATTGAAAGCCAAAACAGATGAACTCAATAAATTGAAACTACAATTTGTAAAGGTAATAGTTACTTGAAATCAGTAACCAGTGTTGTCAATGTTGTTACTAAACGTTGCGTTTATTTTGTATTTAGTTGGAGAAGGAAAACGCCAAATTGCAAAGTACATTAAAAGAACTGAAGGAAGAGGCTATTAAATATTTCAAACCTCGTTCACCCAAGAAGCCAACTGACATCACAACAAAATTACAAATGAAAAAGATGGTTGATGAACTTGAAAATGAAATAGGTACGTAATAAAATCTAATGTATGTAAATGACATTGTTCGATGGACATTGTTTATGAGAGCTGCTAATTATAAACGCTTTTGTGTTGTCTTATATTTACGTTCTTGATTTTATTTTTGTTAGGGGAAATGTACGTCGTTATGAAAAATGCTGGTCTGTCCACAAAAGACCTTAATTTCAAAGTGCAATTAGAAAAGGACATCGAAGAAGCAAAATCCAAATTACAAAGAAATGAATCAGAATTCACAAATGAAAAAAATCGATTACAAACTGACATGGGCAAATTAAAAGATCTCAACACGAAGCTGGAAAATGAGAATAAAACTCTTGGTGACAAGTGTAAAAAGTTAGAAACCGAGAACAATAATCTAGTGAATGAAAACAAATCTATAAAAGAAGATAAGAAAAGCCTCGAGTCACAAATCAGTAAACTTAATGCGGAACTTAGTAGTAAGTCCACAAGACACAATCATTAGCGATTACCGTTTACTACTGCCCCGACTGAGTGCTACAATGTATTATTCAATGTTTACAGAAAATTCGTCTTCCCAGCAAGCAACTGCCTCTGATCTTAAGAAGAAGATAGAAGATCTAAAAAAAGAAATGGAAGCCAAAGATAAAGAAGTAGAGAAACTAAAGAAACAAGTAGAAAATGTGAACAAATTAGAACAAGACAAGAACAAATTACTCAAAGAGGTAAGGTTTCTTAACTAACTTAAACTGTCAAATAAAATTCCAGCAAACAGGTACATTGTTTTATGATTTTTAGGTTGGAGATAAAACTAAGAAGATAGGAGAACTAGAAAAGAAACTAAAAGAAACCGATGATAAGAACAAACGTACTGAGAAACAGCTTGTTACTCGGAAGGAACGCGTAGCAAAGTTAGAAAAAGAGGTTTGTGTCATTATTATTACACGTCTATTTTTGAGTATATCTACGTAATGAAACTTGAAAAATTAAGATACATAGACTTATAAGTTAACATAACTGAAATACTAATGTTAATGTGTCGATCTACTAATCTAGCTGTCTGAGGAAAAGGAACAAACAGAAGCGCTAGCCAATTCTCACAGACGACTATCCGTTGAATTTATAGGCGAAAAAGATGAAATGCAAGCTAAACTTATTAAAACTGAAAGTAAACTTATCACACTACAATCAGAAATGAGAGAAATGAAGACTGATTACGAAAGTAAAATTACAAGTCTGGAATCGACTGTAGCCGCTAAAGATATTCATATAAAACAACTGGTATCTAATTTTTAATACGGAGTGGATTGTACCACTGCATGGAGCCCTTGCTTCCCACTTGATACCTTACCAACCTTTTGACCACTCGACCCACAACATGTAGACGCATGTCACACATGCACGATCAATGCACTATCCTGACTACCTAGGAAGTCCTTTTCATCTAAACTTTCCTCACCAAAAATAATTTTATTCTAAATTAATATTCCGATTTCGATACGTACATTTTCAGGAAGATGCGCTTCGAGAAACCTCTAACCAGAAATATGATGAGGCCGTGTCCTCAGTTGAGATGGCTCAAATGAAGAATAAATTAGAAAGCACTATCAAAGACCTGAAAGAAAAGGAAGAAGAATTAATGGAAGCCAAACGCGAGCTAAGTAGGACTGAAAGGGAACTTTCCAATTTACAAACAGAAGTATCTCAAATCAAATCTGATCTAACGAGGTTAGAAAATGAGAAGAAAGATCTTGAGAACAAATTACAAGCTGAAAAGAAAGAATCGGGGTACTGGGAAAGCAAAGCTTCCGAGCTGGAAACAGATTTACAGGTACGTGATAAACAAATATTTTGAGTATTGAAGACATTATTCCTATACTGTAGGTACAGTTAATAACATGTTACATGTTTATAACACTTAACGTTTTTGCAGGCTGACAGAAAGAAATTGGAGAGAATGCGAGCTGCTCACGATAAAGACATCAAAAACAAGGAGGCTGAGTTAGCAACACTCAGAGGAAAGTTAAAGGTTCTCGAACAGAGCTCAGGCGCTGGAGCCAAGAGAATCGCTGATCTGAAGCAGGAGCATGAAGAGGCTGTTAAAAGTAAGATACTCGTAAGGTTAAATAAGTTACACATCGAAGAGTTGCTTATTGAGCATGTTACTTGCATTTCCAGAGTTAGAACATTCGCTAGCAGTAGAAAAGGCAGAGTACGATGAATTAACCGCCAAGTATGAAATATTAGAAGAAGAACATGTAGTTACGAAAGCTAAGCTCACTGTCGAAAAGGAACAGGCTCAGGGGTAAATACTTCACATCACTATATTTTATTACATAATGAAACAATGAAATAAATGCAATTTTATTTATAGTGAACTTCTGCACGTACAAAAACAGTTGAACACGACTTTAGACGAGTTGAAAACTCTTCAAGATAACTATGACACCCAATCTTCTATTTGGATTAAAGAAAAATCAGACCTACAGGTAATTAAGAACAAAGAACTATTGAAAAAAATAGAGAATGTCATAAGACTAAACTGTCTTCTATTTTATTTTAGACTGAAATATCATCTTTACAAGAAAGACTATGTGGTGGTGGTTGGGAAGTAGAAAAAGCGAGATTAACTGCTCGATTAGATAAATGCGAAAAAGACCTGCGAACGGCACAGGAACAACGTGACGTGATTGAACATCATTGGGAACTTGCCAAAAAAGAAGTAAGCACATATAATATTATTAACGCTTCTTTGCTACATTATGTATTGTATACAAAAAATTACAGCTTGAGGAAGCCAAGAACAAACTAGAAGATTATGAAAGGTTATCAAAGATACAAAGGAACTTGACGTCAGTAAATGTAGAACTGGAACACGAGTTAGCTGAATTAAACAAACGGCTCGAACAAGCTGATAAAGCAAGAAAGGCTGAAGTCTCAGAAACAAAGATGAGATACGAAGGCCAAATGAACTCTATGCGTGAAGAGCTGAAATCATTGCACAATCAGGTAAATATAACATAAAAACCATTATGTACCGTAACTGTTCCTATATATTTTCTTACCAAAAATTACACTGGTTTTCAGGTCTCAAGATTTAAGAGAGAAAGAGATAACTATAGGCAAATGCTAGAGGCCGCCCAAAAATCGATGGCTGATCTCAGAAGTGGTGAAAAGAATCCCAGAAGCAAAAGGACATCAATATCCAGCACAGATGAGGTACTTCTTAACCTTACAATTTAGGAGGTAGATTTAATTATTAGGACTTTAAAATGACTGACTTCATTGGTTACAGGAGGAATATCGAAACAAAGTTGCCACATTAGAGCAACAAGTTGCGTGTCTTGAAGACGAGTTATGCGAAGCACGTATGTTGTCTTCGAAATTGAATACAGAACTCGTTAGCGAAAAATCCGCAGCAGAAATCCGCCTTGCTGAAATGCAATCTAGGCTCAACGAGGTAAAGACGAGATATTTCCTCTTAATACTAAATAAAGCTATAAACGTTTTGTACTCATTCAACAAAACTCAACTCGTTTTCTCTGGTCCAGTACGAAGAAGAAAGAATGCTGTCTTCAGGCCGCGCAAGAGTGGCAGGTTTAGCAACGCGCATGGAACTAGCGTGGCACAAAGAACGTGATGAACAACAGCGGTTGCTCCAAGAGACGTCTACACTTGCTAGAGACTTGCGACAGACGCTTTTTGAGGTGAGAGCACATTAATAGAAAATATATTTATTCTTCTTCTGTTAACATTGAAGACAAATTGATGATTGTCGGTTATCAGGTGGAACGTGAACGAGACAAAGAGAGGTTAGACATGAAAAGACGAATGGATCAGTTGAAGAAAACTACGGAGGAAGAAACTGAAGAGGCCAAAAAGAAGGTAAACATGAGCTGAAATAATATTTTAAAACGTTTTAAGTCTGGCCACTATAACAATATCTATTGTCCATCAGATTACAGAGCTGCAGTGTGATCTTCTTGAATTACGCGATGCTCACGCTAAGTTAAGAACTGCAAATGAAAAGTTACGGCGAGATAAAGATCGACATGATCGTGACCGTGACCAAAACAAATTACTCGTCGGTTCCCTCAAGAGAGCACAACAGGTCAGAATTTTGTTTTTTATAGGTAATAATTTTCAATCTGGATTGTACCTACGTACCTCAAGACGGCTTCCTGATATAATACTTTCTATTGTCCTATAAAGTAAAAGTTTATTTGTTACTAGTCCAATCAATACTTTTCCGTGTGCTAGTATCCCCAAGCATGAGTTGCAAGGCATGCGTCTGTTCCAGGAGGATGACCGGATAATAACTCAGCTACTGGAAACAATTGAAGACCTGATGAAGCAGAGTCCAGAACTGTTCCGAAATGAGCCACCAGTTAAACCTGAGAAGAGTTTAATGACTCCCACGCCTCCGAGAAGAAATAGGGTCAGTAAATTTACGAAAGCAAAATTGAAATTAAGTTCCGGAGTACAATGACTTACTTTTAATTACAAAGTTCACCGCCACACCTTTTTAAAGTCACAAATAACCCAATATTTTCAAAGTATTGAACTATTGATTGATCCGACATCTCTCAAAGGTCCAAAAAACGATTACTTGCTGTTTGTTAACTTGTTATCAAAGTTAACTGTTAATTTGCTGAAGGAAAATGTTAAGTTATAAACTGGGTAGTAAAATATACGTATACTTGTTGAAGACGAGCTCCGTGGTCGAGTGGCTTGAACACCGGTTGTCATGGTGTCGTCATCTCTGAGGCCCCGGCTTCCATCCCCAGCCGGGTCAACGTAGAAAAACTATTTCTATATTGTCTCGGGTCTGGGTGTTTGTGGTACCATCATTGTACCGATTTCCAAAACAAGTTCTCTAGTTACTTACCTACTTTGGGATTTGAGTACCGTATGTGGTGTTGTCTAATATTTAGAATTTATTATTTAGAAGCAACGATATCTATGTATTAGTTGTTTAGAAGCGTCTATTGCACACCGAAGATAGTAACATGTGACTTGTTTTACACAACGTTAACATTTCGTAAAGTGGACAAAAATGTAAAGCCTGCTTGTAGAAATAAAATTGTTTTTTATTTCCAGTCGTCCAAATCCCGGTCCCGGTCAGCAACTCCAGACAGCGCAGAAGCCGCGCAAATGGAAGCTGCCAACACCGCGGCGCGACTCCGGAGGCTGACTGATGAACTCCGAGCATCGCGTATTGCAGAACGACAGCGCAGGCAACAAGCAACCGCTAGACGGTAATGGAGTCTTTTTATTAAATAACACACACACTCGCACACACTCAACATAGCCCCGCACTAGGAAAACCTTGTGTCGCGGGTGCCATGGACACACACATAGACAACCACAAATTATACCCGAACTCACGAGAGAAATAAATATAGGCCATACAAATATTCTCAAGGCCCAGGAAACGAACCTGGGATCTCTGCGTGGCAGTCCGGCATGGTAACCGTTCGGCCATGGAGGCAGTTAAAATGAAATGAAAATGAATATGTACTTACCCAGTACTGTCACTGTCACTGCTATTACGTATTTTCTTCCTTTATTGGATCTTCTCAGATATGTGGAGCACCAAACGACTACCAAACCAATACATGAACGTATCTCGTATGTTCCATTTCCAGGGCTATGTCAACCGAACCACGCGACACTTCATTATCGGTGGCACCTATAAGTCGTACACCTACTCGCACGCCGTCTCTTAAGAAACGCTCAATCTCGCTTGAGCAGACTACTAAAGAACAGGTACCAAAATTTTAAAAACTTGCAGGTTAATAAAATTATCGAGTCTGTTTTTGTTCTATAGGATTGCGTTCAATTTGCATGTAAAAACGTCAAGAAATAAGACTTCGATACTCAAAACACTGTCAGAAATTATGTTTAGTATCGACCCCAAATGCACGAACTGTTTTGCGTGTTTTGCAGAGCCAAATTTGGAAGTCGGTAGACGAAAGCAGTGTATCATCAATGCAATCCTTGGACGGCGATACAGACATTCGTCATTTTACCATGCAACGTGACACGAGTCTGGACAGGTACGGCAATTGTCTTTATAAGATTATAATCGCTATAACGTAATGTAGGACGTCCCCCTGCAAGATGGGCCGACGATCTGAAGAAGGTCGCGGGTAGTGGTTGGATGCGGAAAACGGGTGATCGGGCACTGTGGCGTATCCTTGGGGAGGCTTATGTCCAGCAGTGGACTGGAATAGGCTGATTGATTGATTGATTGATTGATTGAATTGCTATAAGAATAATAAGCATCCCATATTCCAAGCGTGACCATTAGTCAGACTACATCACAACCTTTTTTAGTGCTATCAGATCTAAGCTAGCGATATGGCGACTTTTTACGTGACTAGCCAAATTTCAAAAACTTGAACATGGTCATGCTGGAATGAGGGACGCGAATTTTCAGAATTCCCAGCAAATATAAATTTATACAGGATTTATTACGCATCTGGGAGTTTATAGAAAGTTATCATCATAATGTGTTTATGTTTAACAGCCGATTGTCGGGCGGTTCAGCGCAGAGCGACGTATTGCCAACAGACAAAAAGAAAAAGAAGAGTTTGTTTGGCAAACTGAAGAAGCTTACCAAGTCACGTTCTATCGATGACCAAGTTGACCCGGAAATTGTTGAATTTAGACCAATTGGTACTGTTTCTCAGGTAATAAATATATCTTTTAATTGTTTGTAAATGACTGCAGTTTTTAATATTTTTAATTGTTTTGCCAATCATTTGGTTAAATTACAGGGGTCGGATTCTGATATGAGCGCGGCAGGCAGTAAGCGTGATTTACGAGGTCGGCTATCGGATATGTTTAGCAGAAAAGGACAGATGTCCCGAGGAAATAGGTAAGATTATATAAGAATAAGTAACGAAAACGTTACAATGGATCTATGAATTGTAGTTGATTAATATTTTAAAACAAATACTACCGTTTGTATAAACAGCAAAGAAAAAAGCCCAGAGCGACCCGCTAGTGCGGCGGGAAACGTTTCAAGTAGCGCAACTAAACAAATTTCAAGGAATGCAAGCTCTTCGACATTACTTCGCCCATCGCCTGCTAAAACGGTAAATATATCCATAAAAATGCCAGTTTTATTTGATGTTTGATGTAAACATATGTCATTTTTTCCAGAATGAAGTTCTCAAAAACTCAAGAGCTTCAAGCGCCACCCCGATAATGAGAAAAGGGAAATAATTGATACTATTCGTGTTTCACTTCTTTATAGTGTATTTATCCATTCTCCTATGATTTCCACATAGCATGTAATATCACAATACATATCAATAATTCGTCTGTATAACTATCGTAGACACGCATCAAAATAGAGTTACAAAGTATGAACAGTCAGCTAGCGATAGTTATGCAACGCTCCTCTCAAATGGCGTCACACTATATCTGTACAGTGACTGCTAAAGATTCCCTGCTCCCTTAGTCCCTAATGAGTATCACCAGGATTTATATGACGTGCACCATACCACGTGGGGGAGTTTATTAACAACGTTTGTGGTTATGTACTTGTAATTTTATAATAAAACTGTTGTTGAAAACAACTACGTCTCATTTATAACCTTATCGCCTAAAATTAACCTAAATAAATGAAAGGGAAATTCAAATTAAAAAATTGATATTTAACTGCAGAATTTCAAAAATTTTTTACAATTTGCTCGCAAATTATAGTGGTTTTTTTTTAAACAAAATCAAACAACAAAAGAAAATGTTAATAAAAATATGGATAACCTCGTGTCGCGCGCGAGAATGAAAAGAAATGCAGACTCGATGTATTCGTGTGTCGTCGAGGTGGCTAACTTTGATCCATAAGGTTGGAGTCTACACCGCTGCCAGCGGACGAATCCTTGAGGATCGATTCGAAAATGGGCTGAAGGTCGGGGAACGACTTGATTTGTGTCACGAAGTCCATCAGATGGGGGTTCTTTTCTGTTATGATTAAAACGGATATAGTTAGCACAACGAACTGACATTCCAACGATATTCGAATATGAGACGGTAACTTGAAAAATATTGATTTTATTACTTGAAATTACTTATATACGAAAGAAACGAACCTTTAATTAAAAACGCCATATGGCGTGTGGTGTTTCTGTGGTATTAAAATATACGCACGACGGTACATCTGATGGAAAATGGTAACCGCCGTCGATTCACATATGCGACTCGAAAATAATACAAATATGTAGTTCTATCATTAGATATGTTCTATTTTGACAACAATTAAATTAATACCCCTTATTAGATTGATATGCGAAGTCATAAATCAGTAATGCAACGTACCGGCTTCAGGTATTTGCAGCAGAGCCGCGGCGGCACGTAGGGCCGACCGTTTGAGCTCGTCTTGTTTCTCGTACTCTTGTTTCACGGAATTGGCCTTCACCTTCATCGTACACGTAGCTCTTAGGGGCTCCACCAAACTTTCTAGCCCTACAAAACATGTTAACAAATGTTACATTTGAAGATCCTGAAACTTTTGTATTATGATATCAAGTGACGGGACGAACAAGTCGTGCGCCTGGTGGTAAGAAATACGCCAATCCATAACAGTTGCGGTGTCCCTCGGAACTTTAAATCGCAAAAATCTGGGGGGCACTACCACCGCACCCGTCACCCTGAGACAAAGTTGTAAAGTCCCATGTGCCTGTAATTTCACCTGCACCATCACCCTACAAAACCGAAACTTGGCGGAAGAAATAGGTAAGGTGGCAGTACTTCCCTGGACCAACTCTCACATGGAGCTCTGCTGCTACTAAGAAAAGAGATGCAAGTCACTACAGCATCATGTAGATAATGTTTTACTTAACTAAGTCACATTGGAAGAGACGATTCATGCCTTTAGTACAATTCTAATAATGTAATATGGTAGAACAAAAATTGCACTCACTTTGCAAAACAACAGCCGGACAAAGTTGCGCCAATCGCGCACACATGAGGTAAGTCAGCATTTTAATATCATAGTGATCACGAAGTCCATCTTCTACGTGCCTCAGGAACTCGAACACATCCAAGCGGTCCAAACAAGTGCCCAAGAGAGTGTACATGCATTCAAACGCTGCCTTTCGCAGGTCAAGGCCGTCGTCAACTGAGTGCTTGAATGGTCCCATTTCTACTTCGCGGATTAGCTCTTTCTGCAAAGTAAATCAAAATAATTTTGGGTGGGGTGTTGTTTAAAGTAATTGTTTTATTTTTTTACCAAAAAAGAAAAAATAATTCTAATTGCACATTAAAAACTACAATGACAACCTGTGTTGTTGACTAATCCTAACGTCCTATCCAACTGACACAGGTCAGAAAAGGATATGGATTTTGATGACTTACTTTCTCAAACTCGTATCTTATAAAGATTGATTATTCAGGAGATGACAAAACTTTATATTTATTTCAAATTTCAAATCAAGGGTGTTAATTTGGATGTATTACTTTAAGAATAGGTAAAAGCCAGTGTGTGAATATGAGGGAAATATGATGTGAAATCATCCTTCAAAATTTGTATAATACATATATCTCTCTATTTTTTGTATTAATTAAATTTTTATTGAATTGATATTCAATTATTTTTTGTGAAATTACTCCACTAGTTTGTTATAATTATTAATACAAAGATCGAACACTCAGAAAAAATTCCTTCGATCCGGTCGGATTCGAACCGACGTCTTCTTGCATACCGTGTCAGACGCTATACCAACTAAGCCGCGGAACGAACCAACGGACCTCACGAATTTTTCTATGTGCTTGCGTCGTGTCTTTGTACTTGGTCTTTCAACGACTTTTTAGTCGTAGCGCCGTCTATGAGAAATCTATGACAGATTTATCACCCAGTTAGTACCTTTACAGCTACCAGTCCTGGCGAGAGATGTCGCTATTCACTGCATTAATTAAATTTTTATTGAATTGATATTCAATTATTTTTTGTGAAATTACTCCACTAGTTTCTTATAATTATTAATACAAAGATCGAACACTCAGAAAAAACACTCAGAAAACAATTTTTTGTATTTGAGTAATCTTGTGCTTTAAGATACGAGTTTACGAAAGTAAGGCGACGATATTAAGATAAACTAATATCAACAAAAGTTAAGTAACAATCTCTTCCAAATTGCCTTATTATAGATAAACAGAAGAAGCAAAGGGGGTGCAACTAAAGAGTATCTTTTAAAAATAATATTTAAAAATGCTAAATATCGAATACTCACAATGTACATATACGTAAATACCTAATAATAATAATAATACTTACTTTTATAACTGTCTACTAGAAATACATCATGTAAAAATAGCTGCAAGCTCCTCAAATAAAATAGATAGTTGAGGCGAAAAATAAAACCTTTTGTTATAAAGAAATCAATTAAGGGATGAGGGAGAAACGAGGAAATTTTAGGAGTTAAGGAAATGTCTCTTGAAAATCGTTCAAAGGAATCAAAAAAAGGTGATATTTTGCCATCGAAAAGCAGAATATCTTTGTGTCGCCAAGTAAGCCTTCTCACTTACCTACCAAGTTAGTTTTTTGTTCGGGACGCTTTTTGCTTTATGAAAGGAGTCTCAAAGTAAGGAATCGTAGTTTATACTATGAATTTCAGAGTGACGGTTACTCTAGGACCTTGCCTAGAATACTCAAAAATAAATTCAGAAAATTCGTTTCTTAACTTGTCTAACCGGGAATCGGGCACGTTGCTAACTTTTAGGTTACCGAAGTCGCAAAAAGTTTGTACGGCCCCATAATATAGTAAAAATATCGGTCCGTCACCTTGACTTTGGTTTCGGCGTAGATGGTGGGCAGCACTTGTGGCAGCAGGCCGCGGATAAGCGACGGCTTGTTGTGTGCAGCGGAGTTGAACGCCACCAGTGCCACGCGCCGCACACCCAGTTCAGGATCGCGCAGTGGCACCAGCAACTCCGACATACAGCTGCGCAGGAGCGGATCGATCGCTTGCGGCTGGCGGAACACGTTACTGTTACTAACAATCCTGAGTATACCGGTATAACTCTACCTGTTGATGTTTTGTATCTTATTTTAGGTACAAGCTTAGTTAAAAATTCAAGCCCAATTACTATACAGAATGCGTATAAACATCATTATGAGGCGTATTCGGAGGCCATTTCCTTATTGAATTATGATGCCAATCTAGAAACTGCTATGAGAAGTGTGCGGGTTGACGATAATGAACATAATTTTATTTATACTAATAATAAGAGGCTGTATTAAAAAAATAATTGTCAGTGTCGCTACATAATAAATTCTCCAAAACATATTCGTTGCCACATGTCAAATATATTTGAAATGGTGTTCCATTACTTTTTAAAACCAATCAACTTTAAGACGACGTACCACAAACGCTATGTAGAATTTTTCACAAAAATTTTACTTTATTACGACACGCGACCAATCGAGACAATTCCAACGATGCCTCATACCTTGAAATCGGTTAAGTAGTTTAGGTTCTGTAAGAGATGACCAAACAATCATTCGTACGCTGCTAAAGTCATAACCTTCCCCTAATGGGTTCGCCGTAGTTGGGTGTAGTAATCAAGTAGTTGTAATCAACAATTCAGTAAAAACTTACATAAATACCATTTTGAAATAATAACTTCTGTATAAATTGGAATAATATTCCTACCTACCTGATCTGAAATGGTGAATTTGACAGCGGTGACAGCAGTTGTTCGCGTTAGGGGCTCGGGAGACCTCAAGAATTCCTTTATATGCGGCAAGAGGGTCTGTGGCTCCAGAAGACACAGTTTTCCTAGACATTCTGCAACCTATAAATAAACAA